ATAAACGGTTCATCTTTGTATCAATAACAAAGTAGTGGAGTAAAATCGTCATGATGTACAATATCATCGTACTATAAATGCATATGTAAATTTATAAATGAACTCTTGCCTTTAGTGACACATTACGGTGACACAGGAATAAGGCCGGCCTCGCTAAGTTTTAACGGTCATACAAGTTAAAATTAACCACATTATTTCTGTAAGTAGATTGTACTTAATATCTAACTGTTAATGTGAGGACTGTGATATTTAATGTGCTAGGTTTAAATAAATATACGAACGGAAGGTTTATAAAAATATCATCTTTTATTTCATCGCATACATTTATTTCAAAGTTTTTTTTAATAACAAGGAATGTCTATTAAAATTACAAATGATAACGAAAATACAATATAATGTCATGGTTTTTAATCAGAAATAAGGTTAATGTAACGTAAAATTTGACAAAAATAACGCTTTGGTAAAATTAAAGCTAAAATAATATTGCAGTAACCCACACCTCTTTAAAATACGTAGTTTATGATAATTATCTGTTTGTTATTCTTCGCGAAATATTACCTGACCCCATTCGACTTATTGATAAAACTTTGAAGCTACTCCATAATACACGAAAAAGGGTGAGTTGGCTCTTTACAGCATTAGCCACCCTTACACTGTACGTGTGAAAGGTATTGCATGTAAAAAAAAAAACAAATTTATCGGTCAAAGCTGTGGTAACTCAGTGGGAAAGCTTACTTATCATGTGATCATTGTTTTCAGTGGCGGATTTGCAGTCTTGGCTGCCCTAGGCCTCAGGCCATGTAGTCCGTACCAGCACTCGTTAGTAGTTTTTGAGTTTATAGCGATCAGACAGACGTAGTGATTATACATTACATAATACATAAAATCGACCCCTCCTACGTAAAGTATCGTATGCCGAAATTGCCAAGTTTACAGGGGAGCGTTTTTAAGTTAAACATAACACGTGACTTTAGCATTTCTCAGTTTTATTCGGTAAAGCTCGTTCTCACATAGAGTATTATAAAATCCCAGATTTGTCGGTTAGGTGAACAACCACAATTTATATTAAAATTAGACTCATTTCAGTGAATTGAAAACTTTAAAACGCTCCCCTGTAAACTTGTTAATTTCAACATACGATACTTTACGTAGGAGGGGTCGAAATGTACGAGTGATTTAGGAAGATTATTGTAATACGGTGCGGTGCAGCGTAATGTGCGTGAGCCTTTAGAATATTTAGGTACTTTGAGTTGTTTCTTATCATCATCGGTGAATTCTTTGTCACGATTGGCCGCCCTAGGCCCGGGCCTACTGGGCCTTAGGGCAAATCCGCCCCTGATGATTTTGCTGTGGGATGTTACACACAACAGCAATGACAATGGATATTGACAGAAAGATTACAATAATCACAAAAAATAACAATTCATTACAAATATTTCCAATATTCTGAACAAAAACGTATATATACTTAATATGTGGAACACCTGTACCCATTAGTAAGTATCAAGACCGTTTATTCCAAACGGAATAAAAACATCAAACAAGTTTTTTTTACCCTATTGACACTAAAGATGGGTTGCCCTAGCCGATAACATTGGACCCAAATAATATTTCACAAACTATACACAAACAGTAAAAGTGCAAAAGAAAAGTAAGTAATTAAATTGTTTTGTATAAAGGTTTATTTTCCTTATTTACACTACACAGAAAAATAGCATAAATAGTGTTAACAACGAGATCAAAGTCCAAGCCATAAGTGGACATGGTAAATGTAGAGCAAACGCCTCTGTCCATGTATGGACGGCTTTACGGTTAAGAATTATTCAGTTTTTGGCATTGACTTACAAATAAATGGACGACGGGTCTAATACAAAAACCACGAAAAAAATGTCCCAAGTCAACCTATTTAAACGTAGTGACATGTAAAGGAATATGAAAAAGCTAAAACGTTGAATTTAAATTGTAATGTCATCGCAGTACTGTCTAGTTTAGCTTGCTTCGCTGTCAGTCGATCAAACGAAGACTAAAGCGTGAATGACGCTCTGTATACGATTTTAACGCCCTATAAGTTCGGACACTTTTTAGCGCGGACCTGACGTCCATATAATTGTAAGTCAATGGTTTTTGGTATATATTCTTTAAATAGACACAAGCTTCACTCAATCTTACCTGAGGTGAGTAACCGACGGTGGTATACGTTAAATAAATTACGGTTATCGGGAAAGATACTGGGAATGTTTCATTGCTTCAATAATCTTTATTTCATTGCCAAGCAAATTACACTTAAAATCGAAAAAGCAAATGGCGTCGAAAGCCGAAAAACTCAATGCATAATAATGATCCATAACAGACACATAGAAGAATTTCGTCAACCTGCTAACTCTACATGTAGCGCAGTTGGAAGAGCGGTGGGGACGGAATCCCGCGGTCGCAGGTTCGAGAATTTTGTTGTGTTCGATCTTTGTATTAATAATTAAAGTAAAACGATTCTAATATAAACGAATTAATGATGGAGTGTTTAGGAACATTCCAGGCGACCGAAGAAGGAATGGAGACCATGGTACTAAATTCTAAAGTTCCTTGGTATACTCTCCGAAATATATCCAACAAAAACCAACAGCAACTATTCTGAAATGCTAGATTTTTTTTAAATATTTATTTGCCTAACTATGGCCTTAAAGTTACCCACGAATACTCGTCCGCGTATTAGATATTTTCTATGGACAGATAATTTTTTCTAGTAATAATATTTCGAGATACATACATTAAATGGTTTAACCAATAAGGTGGCCATATAGCGAACTAACTTTGAAATGAGCGGAAAAATCTTTGGTAACAACTATTCGAGTTCTCAGATTTTCACGATTGGAAATGAAACTATATTAAGCTGACATATCGTCGAGTTCAAGAAAGTAAGGCATCGATATTCAGCTGTGATCATGGGACCTGTAAAGAGTCCGAAATCTTGTATAAAAGAGATTTTAGATTTGAAAAATACACAGACAATTCGAGCTATCTTTCATTTTCAGAATTAAATGCCCTAAGCTTAAACGATGTTTGATTGATCAAAAACTAGTATACAATTTTGGAACCTGGTATATTAAACGTCATTTACATAAGTCTTTGTTAAAAATTTAAGTAAAACCAGTTGTTCGCGTCAGTACAGTATGAGGTCATAATATGACGAGTTTTCCCGATGTACAATATATTATTATATTGCACATCGGGAAAACTCGGAACCCACGAATGGGATATATTGTCGTGTTATTCGCTCAAGTATTTAAGATAACGAATCAAGAAACTATATTAACGATATCAATGATTTTGACATCACATATTGACAATAAAGTTTCATGTTAAGAGTCTATACTACCTCGGCTTGAATTAAAATTTTTCCCGTACTAATACGGTTCAATTTGCTTGAATAGTGTGACAGGGGCACTGGTTTTATTTCAAAATTTATTTATTACAATCGGAATTACAACCACTTGAAAAATGTATATGTGTGTTCTATTCAGTTCAGTTGATATAAAAAAATGATTGGTAAATGTAAAGCACCTATTGAATATTGAGGTTTTCTTGTTCAATTTCGACCTTAGTTTTTTTTTCTATCGTGAACATTTTTAGGCATCGTGTTTTCACTCTGTATTATTGTATCAGTGTATATCCTTAATTTTATTCAACAGTTTCGCTGTTATGCAGAATCAACCAAAGCCATTTGAGGTTGTATCTAGACTCTTGAATTGTCATAAATACATCAGTTGTTAATGCAATAAGTTATAAACGCGGCAACAGCATTCGGGAACATTCGTAGCTTCAGGATTCTCCCGATGTGCAATATTTATAGCCTGGTACTGTAACTCAATGGTCGACTTAAAAGGAGACATTACATACGATGGCTACCGTTCAAAATATGTTAATATTAACAGAATTTTTAAATTGTATTCCTTGTGATTTCTTGTTATCGAAGAACAGAAATCGATTAAAACTGATAAAAAAACAATAACATGAACAAAAACATGACCTAAAGATACCATGTTGAAAAACGTCAAATGAACTTGCAATGGTTGTAACATACTAACAACTTCGCAGGACTATAATATTACTAACCGGTGACAATAGAAAACGCTAGCGTAAATACCAGTCTGATGCGAAACGCAGGAGCGGGGGTGAGGTAATTGGGGAGGACGTTTAGACTTACTACCTAATGCAGACCTAAAAAATGTCAGATAGCACTATAATTTTGGTAAATTTATTATGTTCTGTAAAAAATCCTGAAACAGGTTGTTATTCATGGTGTTAGTAATATACTGCCCTCGAAACTAAAAAGGGCACAAGTAGCAATTTATATGATATTTGAGTTACAATCTAGGTAAAAATCTATCTATTTTTTTTGTTCAATATACTACAAGGTCCAAGGGCACAGCTGAATTATGCCCTTTAGTTTTATTTGTGAGTCAAGTACTTAAATTCGCATTTAAATTGGTTATGCTCTTTATATGCAGTAATAACATTTTTTTTTCAACTAAGTTAAATAGAAAATTAAGGGACTTTTAAAGTTTCTGTATAAAACATTTGGTATGTATAAGATAAATAAACTACTTAATATCAAACGTACTACACTACACTAGGTTTTAGTAGCAGTAGAGCTTCTTGTGAAAGTACACCTTGCCTATTATTAGACAACCAAAAATTACACCCAAACTCACGGGAGAAATAAATGTAGGCCGTACTAATATTAAATTCAATTAAGGCAGTCCAGCATGGTAACCGTTCGGCTACGGAGGCAGTTTCTGCCAACAAGCAGTAATAAAAAATAAGCCGACATCTTTAGCCGGGGCTGGTAGCTGCAAAAGTACCTAATTGGGTAACGAAATATCATAGATTTCTCATAGATGGCCCTACGGCTAAAAAGTCGTTGAAAAACCAATACAAAGACACGACAACAAGCACATAGAAAAATTCGTTCGTTCCGTGAATTAGTTGGTATAACGTCTGGCATGGCATGCTAGAAGACGTCGGCTCGTCACAAAAAATAATTGAATATCAATTCAATAAAAATTTCAATACCTTGCAAATATTTAAACATATTTATCACCGATTTTAGAATTTGCTACTTGTGCCTTTATTTCTTCCGAAGTCAGTATATGGTTGTTAGTATTGTACAAATAACCCTTTACGCACTCATGTGAGCTTGTGGCACTGTAACGACTGTAAGGACTGTTCCACTTTAATTAGTATCAAAGGACGGGTTTCTCAAGCCTGCAGCCTTGTGAAAATGCAGCGTAGCCATGTCGAGCAACCGGCACGTCAGCTCCTTGTTCAGCTCTTGGTGGCTCAGACTACAGATTATCAGACGCACGGAAGATGACAGGGTTTCTTCACCGACGATGTTTTGCATTGGAACTGGAAGGAAGATGAGGCAATAATGTGACACACAACCTAGTCTCAAACTAAGGAATTCCCTATATGAGGAGTACCAGAGCAACGGAGATCAGTTCGGGGCACTACCCATAACACCCAGACTACCAATTCAAAAAAGTTCGTTTCCCTAGGACTTGCTCTTAACCAAAACTGTATAGTTTTTAAAGATCAATGGTGAAATCATTGTTAAAAGAATTATTTAGCGTCTTCAAATGTCATAATTACAAGTTTGAACAAAATAAATACATTAAGTTCTTTCGAATTCTACTAAAGGCCTATAGTTTGAAAATAGAAACACATATTATTTAAAATAAAATTCACATGACTGTTAAGTATGTAAATACTTCCGGACAGATGTCAACAAAATCTGTATCTACGTTTAGATAAATCCACATTAAGTTAGTTTACGTCATCGAGTACATATAACCAGAAATGAGACGTAATGTCATTTAATTTGTTTGAAAACTATTCTGCTAAATCATTACGGTGACAACTGCGCTCCGATTGGCCAGCCCGAATTCGAAACAATTGACGGGTGTCGTCAATTGTTTCACTTCATAGCGACCAGTTTAACTTAGCTATAATAGACGAAATATAGCATGTTTCACAAAATAGTTATTTTTGATACAAGTGTGGAAAGTTAGTCATTATTCAGGAGTCTCGAGGCTTCTTGGCCCGAGCCAGAGGCGAGCCAGAGACACGATTTGTCATTTTCACAAATCCGCACGTGTTTCAAACGACGTTTTTTAATACATTTGCGGAAAGACTACATTTAAAGTAAAATAAGACAGTATTTAGAAAAAAACTCATTTCTTGGCCGACTTTTTCAATATGGCAACTGTTGCCAGTATTCAGCCACATTAAAATTTCTATTTTAGTGGCGCGGCGCGCAGCGGTCTCGCGTAATACTCACCTCCGGTCATTGTTAATGCTCAATCAGCCATCTTTATGGAAAATATTTTGGTATTTTTAAATGTAACCCATTGTTTTATAAAACACCTATGCAATTTAAACAAATAAGATGTTTGTAAGTAAATATAAGTTTTAATGACGAATGACTTACGTCACAAAGCACATAAATATTAATCTTCGATTTGATTTTAGAGGGGTATATCCACTTTAAAGTTAAAAATAAAATATTGTATGAGTAACTACACGATATATTCAAGCATAGACATTAATCAGAAACATAAAACAATAAAGTTTCCTCGATAGATAAAAATCACGAAATGACCTCTAATTTTCACATTTTTTCAATTTATTCTCGAAATGCTACAGGTTATTAGAACAAAAATTTGATAATTAATTATATTTATGCATGATCGATAACTGTCACTACGGATTTTTTTTAATCCCTTTAGTTTTAGAGTTATTCCGCTAAAACGAATTTGGTACTTTTAATGCGCAAAATTCAACATCTCCTGTCGCATGTCACGCGAACTTCAGGCATATATTTGTTTCACAAATTTGGGCGGAGCCAACGTCAAAACTTTTTTGGCATGAGAGCTCTTAAGTAAATATTCAAATTCTTTAGTTCTATATTTAAGACTAGAAACAACAGCAAATAAAAAAAATAAAAAATAAAAAGCACCAATGCGAAAAATCCAACTTTCCGCACAATTTGTACTACGAAAAATACCACGTTTTCAGCAACTGTATTAAAAAAATAATTTGTATCACAGTTACCAGTATCTATTAACCATTATTAACTCAGTTTTCTTTTGTTATGGATGAATAAGTTTCATGCTTTTTTACCATACCATTATATGAAATAATTTCCTCTAAACTTTCGGCACACCACATCACAATCACAAACCCACGGCACCATTCGGCTTCTATGAACTCAGTTTAAAGCTTCTGTAGTTAATTTTATTCAATTATGTAAAACATAACCTCCAAAACTTCAAACTGGAATATCTTTCATTCCTGACTTCTCCGAATAGTAAACCCAAAACAAAATTTGTTCAGGAATTTCAACTCTGCATTTTCACATATTTTTCATAAACAGATGCAACACAAACTATGCCAACATAAATTTATATAGGAGTTCGCCATTGATCTTTACAAATCTATATACTTAACCAATTACAAACTTTGTCACACTACAATTATTTTTTTGCAAATTAACAATTACCGTCATAAGTTTATATTTAAATAAACCTTGAACAAATACGGACCTGGCAAGTTGGCCAGTTTCTCCATTATAACATTACACGTTTCGTCAATGTCAAAGTCCCTCAGCTGCGTGGGCGCAGTAGAGTTATCTTCGTCGTGCATCTTCTCGAACGCCGCGAACACCTGCGCGCGCAGCCACGGACCAACGCCTTGCAGCTGCTGGCTTATTAAGGATTCCGCAAAATCTGAGTAACAATTCGAGTTCTTAGGTATTTGCGATTGTTACACATAGGAAATGAAACTATTTTTCCGGATTTAAATCGCGTATATTTGTTTTTTCATACAAACCGACGTTTCGGCCCTTTGCAGGTCCGTTGGTCACGGTTGACTGAGGTGGTACAGTCTTCAACCAGTTATGTCTAATATTGATGCAAGCCACCCTATTTTTTGTGTGAAACCACCAACAGTCGAGCGAAGACCTGCCATCTTACCTTACGTGAGAGGTGTTACAGACAAGATCGGAAGAGTCCTCAGGCGTGCATCTATCAAGACCTATTTCAAGCCCCTGAGGAAGATTTCTCAGTTCCTGAGACCCGTGAAATGTAACATCCCCTTACAGGATGCAGGAGTTTACAAGCTTGACTGTGAGTGCGGTCTCTCTTATATTGGACAAACAAAGCGAAGTATTTGTACCCGCGTCAAAGAACATATAGCTGATGTCAAACACACCGTCGCGTAAACAAGTCTGCAGTCTGCGAGCATGTCATGTATAAACCTACATATTCAATGAAGTTTGACAAACCCCAGGTCCTTGCAAAAGAAGTCCGTTATTTACCCAGGATACTGCGAGAGGCCATTGAAATTAAAAACATCCTAATTTCAACAGGGAAGATGGTTTCTCCGTACCACCAGTTTGGGATCCAATATTTCCTCTAATGAAAAATCCCAAACAGACATAAGACTGCAGTACTAATTAATATGTTTTAGTTTTTTCTAATTTCTATAAATAATTAATAATAAATTGAACTTAATAAAAATTCATTCAATAAAATAATTTGTAAAACTTAATGTGGCGTAAATTGGAATGTTTTCTTTGTAAAATTAAAAATAAGGTACTTAATTAATAACTATTGTAACTATAGTGGAAAAAATAGGGTGGTTTGCATCAATATTAGACATAACTGGTTGAAGACTGTACCACCTCAGTCAACTGTGACCATGGGACCTGTAAAGGGCCCGAAACCTCGGTTTGTTTGAAAAAACAAATATACGCTATTTAAATCCGGAAAAATAGTTTCATTTCCTATCTGAGTAACAATTGTTTTAAGTTGTTTCAATAGTAGTGATAGCGGAGTGGGAGAACGGTTGAGGTCGAATAGCTGTGGCAACATGCATCTATGACTTTAACTACTAAGTAGTGTACATTTAGTAACATAAGAGTTCGAATTCAAATCCTCATCTCGAATTCAAATTTTTCCCGTATTAATACGATTCATTTTGCTTATTTCAAAATTGATTTCTTTATCAACGGAAAATTAAAGCTATTTGAAATATGTATACAATATAATATACGTCTTCTATTTAGTCAGTTGGTATAACAAAAAATCATTGCGACCCCTCCGACGTAAAGTATCGTATGTCGAAATTGCCAAGTTTACAGGGAAGCGTTTTAAAGTTCTGAATTCACTGAAACGAACATAACACGTGACTTTAGTATTTCTCAGTTTTATTCGGCAAAGCTCATTACTCACATAGAGTATTATAAAATCCTAGATATCGGTTAGATGATCTATGGTGATCACTCTTTCAGTGAATTCAGAACTTTAAAACGCTCCCCTATAAACTTGGCAATTTCGACATACGATACTTTACGTAGGAGGGGTCGATTGGTACATGTAAAATTACCCATTGAATACAGCGGTTTTCTTGTAAAATTTCGAAGTAAGTAAATTTTACTACATATTTTTTCCAAAGTGGTAGATTCAACACTTTCTTGTTATGAGAAATCAACCAAAGCCATTTGAGGTTCTACTGCTAAAGGAAAAGTGGGACGTTCAACGAGTCTATAACCAGAAGTAGAGACGAAATAAGGGCCATACGTACCTGGTAACTCATCGGCGATACATAACTTATAAGTATCAAGTCTCGTTTGCACTGAAATATAGACAGCGCCAACAACTGACCTGTGTGTACGCCTCCGTATATTCCAATAATATTCTGCATTTATTGTAATAAAGATAATATCTCTAACAATGGCGTGCTGTTCCATACGGTGGTGGTCAAATGTCAGCGGTAATTAAATATTAAATATGTAATTTTCCAATTTTCGTCCATTATAACAAAGCTCAAGTTAAACTGGTCGATTTGAAGTGAATCAATAGACGCCACCCGTCAATTGTTTCGAATTCGGGCTGGCCAATCGGAGCGCAGTTGTCACCGTAATGATTTGGCAGAATAGTTTTCTAACAAGTTGTCTCTGTTTCTGGTTATAGACTCGACGGGGCGTCGAAGCGAGAGAAGCGGGGTCCGCACCGGCGAGCAGCAGCGTGGCGCCGCGGTAGGCCAGGTGCGAGGCGCACAGCCCCGCGGCGCTGCCCGCCTCGGCGCACGCGCACCAGCGCAGCCCCAGCGCCGCGCACCACTCCTCTGCAACACCGCCGCGGCGTTGGCCGTTGGCCGTTACACGGGTACTGGACACACTCTTTATTCACTAGTATGACGCAAATACATTTTGCTTTTTTATATAGCAGTAGAGCTCCTTGTGCAAGAATTCGTCCATGGAAGTATTGCCACCTTACCCTTTTCTGCCGTCTGCGGTTTTGAACGGTAAGGTTGCTGGTGATTTTAAAGGCACGTGGGACTTGTCAACTTATATCTCAGGGTGACGGGCGCAGTGGCCGCCCTAGGGCCGTATAATCAAAATACCGTCTAGTTCTGCTGTCCGTTATACTACTATTTAGGGCCTGATAGTAAAGTAAATAGTATAAAATATCTTTTCATCACACTTGCTCCTAAATAGTATCATTGTGTTCTAGTTAACTTGACTATAATGCCCCAAATACAACCCTCGGGCCTCTTTTGTTCCCACGGTAAGTTTTTTTTAATTTGTAGCACGACATACTTCGTTACACAGGTCAGGTTCAAATTCAAGCAAGGATGATGCTTAAGTTCAAAATTAAAACATTCCCTTAAAATGTTATCTAAACAAAAATTTTATTGCAATCCAGCTACATACTACTTAAATACTTGTTATAAAGAATTTCTTTTATTTAATTTTAATTATTTTCTGTATAAAAAGTTAGCCATTTTTTTTACAGTCCATCATGTTTATATGGTGGCTGTATGCGTCTAAGCTTTTTACAACATTTTAGTTCGAGTTGTATTAACTATGGAAGAATAGGCTGACCATCTATTGATAAAAAAAAACCAACCATATGCAAAATCCATAATTGATGTGTTGTGAACCATATATTTTATTCTTACAAGAAATAAACATTGTATTTATTTCCTCGCAAATGTGAAGAAAAACACTGTACGTATCACGGACGGTAAAAAAATACGAAACTCGAGTTATGAAAGCCCCTAATACTCCCCCGTTAGTAATTTCTTATTTATCGTCCTTAACACATAATGTACTATTATCAATATAAATAGTTGAGTAAAATCTTCAATTAACAGGAAGACGTCTTACAGTGTGAGGTAACCAGATACTTAGTTTTACCGGAAATCGAGCCTGAGACCTCCTCGTCCAAAGGTCGTCATATCGTCTCCTTACTTTCTCAAAATTGTATTTTAAAACACAAAGTTACTGATTTGCAAAAAATGGATTGTAATCCTAAATATATACATGTAAAAATGCATCCAAATCCTTGATAAGACATTTTAAATAAATAGAAATTATTCTCTCTCATCTCCTGAATAATCACTCTTTAGAAGACACGATTCTGAGATAGTAAGGCATCGATAGGAGGAGAGAAAGAGCGGCAGTACCGAAGTCCTCCGGCGGCGGCTGCGCGGGCGCCGGCGGCGGCGCGATGTGGCGCAGCGAGTCCAGCGCCGCGTCCACGTGCCCGAAGGCGCGCCGCGACCCCACCAGCCGCGACACCGCGCCGCCCACCTGCCACACGGCACTTTGCTACCTCACCATCGTCATGTCACTCAACCCAAACAGTTCCAGACTAATAATAATGACGCACACACTCAACATAGCCCCGCACTAGGGAAACCCTGTGTCGCGGGTGCCATGGACACACACATAGACAACCACAAATTACACCCAAACTCACGGGAGAAATAAATGTAGGCCACACAAATATTTCTTCCGGCCCGGGAATCGAACCCGAGGACCTCTGCGTGGCAATCCGGTGTGGTAACCGTTCGGCCACGGAGGCAGTTACGAGCTATGTGCCCTGCCCGCTGCCACCTCAACTTGCTCTTTCTTCTACGAATCTCCTCATTTCTGATTCGGTGACGTAAACAAATGCCGAGCAGTGCTCCCTGTATAGCTCCCGCGCTACCACGAGTGACAAAGAATAATAAAAAACCTAGAAAGCCACTGTTATGCCAGCCATGCACTATACTAACGCTAAGCTCGAGAGAGGTGCACACGTATGTCCACTCCTGGTCGCCGCCGTCGCCGCCCCCCTCGTCCCCCTCCGCCCCCACGGCCGTCTTGAGCGAGTTGAACACGCCGGTGACTGTGCGGTGGAACAACCTGCAAGGAGGTTCAAGGTTCAATTCTCTTGCTGTTTTCTCGTATTCCGAAACACTCCGGTAGCATTTTCTATACTAAACGCAGACTAGGGTGATCCCTGTAACACTTTATTTGTTGTTATAGGGATGAGATAAAGTCGATAGATTTTAAGTGTATTTGATTTTTGAAACAAATATATGTCTTATAGATCTATTTTTCTGGCGTATTCTGAACGATGTAAACAATTTAGAAAATTTCAAAAAAACATTTATCATTAATTTACAGGTTGTAAAAAAGTAATAACACTGACACATTAATTCATTGCCTACGATTAGAATTCATACTTTGAGAATGAATACCCGCATGTATTGATTAAATTATCGAAAACTTTTTATCGATGTACCTCATCTCTAGTAAATGCAGTGTAATGAAGTAACCTTTGCACGTGGTCGTAAATACAATGAATTTTTGAAACAATATGTTTTTCAGCTCGTTTCTTACGAATGAACATGGAATTGGTGTTATTTTTACTTTAATTTAATGTAATTACTTAAAAACATTTAAAAGATTTTATTTTATTTTATTTTATTTTTATAAGTTTTTATTGACTTATTGAAATTCGGATTATATCACTTTGATCTTAACTGTAGGTATATAATTTCAATTTAAATGTTTGTGTAAATTTAAAATTTTGGTATGGGTCATTGTCGCCCGAAATAAATTGTTTTTTTTTTTTTAAAGCGAGGCTTTTAAAAATAGTTTAAGAAATACGTAAATTATAACACGCTTACAAGGTTATATTGTGTAGATTTTTATGAACTGTCACAAAAACTATCCTACATTATTTTTAGTATAATTAATTACGGTTGGTATCGATAAATTAGGTTTTCACGATTGTTACACATTGAAAATGTAACTATTTATTACAGTTGATTAACTTCGAAAAACTGTACCTTTGTTTTTGGAAAATTTGCTTACAAATTTAATTACCGAGGCTAGTGTTTATTTGTTATATAAAGTCCTAGCTTCATGCCGCCACAGGACCTCTAACCGTCGAACTGTCAAATTAGTTTAGTATTTTTAGTAGCAGTAGAGCCCCTTGTGAAAGAGTTCGTCCAGGGTAGTACTGCCACCTTGCCTATTTCTGCCGCCAAGCAGTAACGTCAGCATTACTGTGTTCCGATTTTGAAGGGTAAATGGGACTTGTCAAGTTGTGTCTCAGGGTGGCGGGTTCAGTGATAGCGCCCCTGCGATCTTTGCGGCTGAAAGCTCTGAGTGGCACTGCAACTGCTATGGAAAGGGGTGTCGCTTAACACCAGGTGTACGACTTGTTCGTCCCGTCACCTGGTATCACAAAAAACACCGCTCTCTCTCTGGACCACTACCGCTGTTTCCATTCTTCATTAGTCCCCCAATAATTGCTAATACTCGCTAAACATACTTATCGAGCCTTTGCATGTTGTTTGACGCTTGATTTGGCGAGGTATTACGATCGGTGCTCATGTCATATTCGTCTGGAACAAGCATATAAGATCCGCATTAATGCATATACTACGACCTGTATTATTAATATATTAAGACTCATAAAGTTATAAAGGTCTGTGTTCACGTCCACGTGACATGAACAGACAACTCAGGCAGTGCACTGACCGAATTCCAATACGTAAAACCAGACTGCTGCGTTGACATTTCCTTTAGTGTTACATTTAGGAACAATATTGTTTATTTTCTTTAATTTATTTATTCATATTCATGCTATATTGGCCCATAAATACATACCTTATATAATTATTAAAATAATTGTCCTGATTTAAATTAAATTTTAAAATTTAAAGTTGATGAAAAGAATTTTAATAAAGCCCGTTTTAATAAACATAATAAAACCCTTATTAACATAATATTAAGGCCAGTATCAATAAACAGTATGTATTAAAAGTCGATAGAACCTCAAATCGATACCGCCAAGGAACACTAACGCCAACTTCATTTTTAGGTAATTTTCTGTTGTTCTTGTAAACAGCCATATTCATTTACTAATATTATGCTCGCCGAATTTTGTGAAAAAAAATAAAGAAACAAAATTGTAAAAAACACAAAAATCGAATTTTGTGACAAAAAAGAGAAACAAAAAATAAATAAAATTTTTACTCTTGAAAACATCATTTTTTAAGCTCCTGCTCATTCATTCACACACATAATAAAATTGAGGATTTACACTATAGTGCGCGCGGAACTAGCTGGCCGCGCCTTAGGTAGGGACAGGGGTGAGGGGGCGGGTTGCTTGCTGCTAGCAACGCACATGAGATTAGACAGTGACGACCAATCTCGAGATATTGTGAACAATAATTGTTCAGTTATTGAAAAGAAAAAATTAAAGCCAATTGAACTTTTACAAGTTTATATTATACCTATCTAATTAATTGCAATGTACAGTCGGCAGCACATCAGGCCGCCACAAACTGTCAGATTTCCTCAATTGATTTTCAACTTAAAGTCCAGGGAATAGAGTATAAAATTGATTGGATAAATTTGACATTTATGTATTGCTGGACTTGCTGTTGTCCGTACATTGCAATTAAAAGTAAAATAAACCAAAAACAAATTAAATGAAATTCTTCCGACATATTTGAATCATTTATGAAATTATTATTAATTAATTAGTGTAACTAACACGACTTTGTATTTATAGATATGAAATTACTCTGACATATTATCCTCTGAATCACTTGATTCTGAATTGTCTGAACTTGAGTCAGAATCATCTTGTAAGTTTATAATGAATTCGTCCATCACAGTATCATATCTCATATCATGATTCCAGTATTCTTGTTCGTTTTTTTGTACGTGGTCGTCGCATTTTTGCCATTGTTCGGCAGAAAATTCAGAAAATAGTCTTGTTAGTATTGTAATTTTCTCGTCCAATGTAGCATTAATGTGATCTCTGGCCAGGCAATTTTTTATATTTGCCCACACAAGCTCGATTGGGTTGAGATCTGGATGATATGGAGGTAGTCTTAGAACAGTATGACCTGCACCTTTCAGAAGTTCATCAATCGTGTATATTTTTTCTGATTGGGTCGTATTAATCAAGCCCAAGAGTTCAGCTTTGACCATCGTGGGAGAAAAGGGCACGTTATGATTTTGCAACCAATTCTGCATATTAATTTTCATACAGGACATAGTCGGTTTCTTCTCAACTTGCACACAGTGGTAAGCTGCATTGTCCATAACTATGACTGAGTTAGGTGGAAGTTTAGGTATTAACTTTCGATCAACCCAGTTGTAAAAATTTGTAGAGTTCATGTCTCCATGATAGTCTCCTGTTTTTGAATCTGATTTAAAAATTAGCAGAGCATCGTCAACTAACCCGTTCCGACTACCAGCGTGAACTATTATTAAACGCCTTCCTTTGCCTATATCTGCATAAACATCAGGCTCCGACGAAGATTGCCAACATTTTTGGACATTATGACTTTGGTTAACGTAAGTTTCGTCCAAAAAGAATATATTTCGTTTGTCTTCTCTGAATTTTCTTATGGCCCTCAAATATTTCACTCGCCATTCAACAATGTTTGGTCTCTCTAATAAAAGGGATCTCTTCGATTTACATTTTTTAAATGAATATCCCAGTTTGTGCAAAAGTTCTCTTAAATAAGTTAATCCGCAATCTAAAATATTATCCTCTTTTAACACAGCATTTAGTTTTCGTAGACTTGGATTTGTTTTCTGTACAGTATAAAACTGATTTATTTTTCTTCTTATCACTCCTAAATCAAAATCATCAACTTGTATTTTCTTTTTTATCTCTTTTGGCCTTCGTGGAGAACTAAATTTTGCTTCCCCTGTATTTTGCAAGGATGTTTTACTTTGAGCAATCACTCTCCTTACACTTCGTTCTGATATCCCGGTTGCTTCTGCCACTAATTTATGAATATTCGCATCAGTTTTATATTCTAAACTATTGACATCGGCTTTCCGTTTTTTAAAAAACGTATGCACTTTAAATATTATTTCCTTAGATTGTCTTTTTATCGGCGGACTCATCTTGACATTGCAATCTCTTGTGCGTTTTGTCTAAACTAGCCAGAACTGTCAACGTGTGTTGCCGCCGCCAAGTCCGGCGCCGAACTGAGTATTCTGAGTAATGACATCAAGTGCCCCCGCCTCCCCGTCCCACCGCTCACATACCTAAGGCGCGGCCAGCTAGTTCCGCGCGCACTATAATTACTATGTGGTGTGAAAAAAAGATTCCTCGATAGAAAAAAAAACAAGCTTAAATCGAATGTATTCAATAAGTACTTTACATATACCAATGATTTTTTTATATCAACTGAACTAATAGAACACGTTTAGTATACGATATTCATTTTCAAAATGGTTGTAATTTCTTTTGTAAAGAAATAAATTCTGAAATAAAGCCGGTATTCCTGCCACTCAACCCAAGCAAAATGAACCGTATTAGTACGGGAAGAATGAATTCGGGCTGAGGCTGTATCGACTCTAAAGACCCGTATTAATAAACATATATTAAGGCCCTTATAAACGCGTAATATTTATAAATTGAATGATTCAGATTCAGATTCATTTATTTCTCAAATATGACATTACAGTATAAATTGCACTACATGTCAAAGTATAAGAAATTATATTGAGATCGTCAGACAAATAGGAAAAGCACACAATAATTAGAAAATTAACAATTCATTATATAATATTGTTGCCATTAAATTACATATCAAATATCATTCTCCATCAAGAATGTAACAACTATTCCGCGGGTTGTGTTATTTATTTATTGTAAATATAAAAAAGAAGGATGGCGAAAGCTGCCCCAATAACGACGAAGAGCCGTTCATGGACTTTGCTAGTATAATTTTGCTTTTTAGTTTATGCCTAGTTATCAATCAATGTCTTTTTGTACATTTTTAGAAGTCGGGAATAAAAAAATTGTATAACATTGTATTTTAGAATAGATGCAAGAAAACAACGCAATTGTTTCAGTTCGACCATAGATTAGGTAACGTTCTTTTTTTTAATTTATTAAGGGTTTGGCAAAGCCATCAGCCTAAACATGAAGTTTAATTATGTTTCTGTAAATATGGCCGCCACAAAGAGGATAGGCAATTTGAGGCGGCGTGCTTGGATTGACTCGGGATTCCTTAAAACGGGCCGATACGGGTATTCTAGTTCGAGATTCGTATAATTTCGCGTTTTAATCTTCGATTAAGGCACAATAGCACTATCCTATGCCACTTTAAACTAGATTTCACAAAATAATTGAAAGTCAAAATAAAAACGACACTTTTCCCTCCAAAAGGTCCAGAGCGAATCGGTAACGTTCTTGTACGTTCGTTTCATTTTAAGCATGATTGAATGTTTACCTACCTGAAGTATTGGTTATTTTATAGTACACAGATAAAACATTAAAGCTATAAAATACCTAATCAAATAATCAATTAAACAATAATGACATAAAGCAAAGAATAAAACACAATGTGACAAAAATATTTAGACAATATTTAAATGAGAGATAATGAAAGTTGCAAAGAAACGTTTTGATTAGAGACCTCTTGCCAATGTCAATGTTACATTGATATCGAGAACAGTGTGACCATTTGTGGCAAATTTCTGCCATTTGGGTAAAATTAATTTTTATTCATTTTCATTGCTGCAGTCATGATAAGGTCTATTAATGTGGCAAAGTTTGGCTTTATTATTTTTGGGAACAAACTGAAAACTTGTTGTTTTCTGCTATTACGAACATACATCTGAAGCAAAATACAGGAAAATGTTATAAACATAACCTATAGCAACTTTATAACCCCAGCTTCTACAGGCTGTACTCAATTAGCTTTTTTGACGCTTTGATAATGAATCACAAGTAATAAGGTCTCCTTAATGCACGTCGTCAAAAACACTGGGTCACAAAATACATGGGTAGTCACCATCCTTCTTTGGATTTGAGCTTGTTAAGAACATATACTGTAGTTAAAATGTTCAGTACACCAACTCATAAACCCGGTATAATAACCAACGAATGAAACTAACCAGCAAGCGTGGCAGTGTCGACAGGTTTCGAAGATCTATGATGCTGCGTGCGACCGCGGGTCTCCTCCGCGCTTTCCCACCACACCTCCTCGGATCTAAAATTAAATTATTTGCTGAATTATTGAGTGTCAAAAAAACAATCACGATCATGTGATCTAAATTATTAAAAAAATATTAATGACAGAACGAAAGATATTCCAAAACATTCTGGGACCAATCAAAGGAGAATTTGAGAATTGGAGGAGCAGATTCAATAGAGAGATTAAAGTGCTAGTGTCTGAGCCAAACATAATCGAGGAAGTAAAATCCGCCCGACTTCGCTGGCTGGGGCATGTGGAAGGAATGGGAAGGGATCGAGGTGCCAAAAAAGCATATTTGGGGCGACACACGGGGCATCGTCCTGTGGTCCAGTCCGAGATATCGTTAGAAGGATGGTGTCCCCAAAGACTTGATACAGCTGAATATATATATAATATAACTAGTCGGAACTGGCACAAGACCGTAAGAAATTGCCTACTTTGGTGTCAGAGGCCAAGATCCACTTCGGGTTGCTGAGCGAAGTAAGTAAATAAGTTTGTTATAATTATTAATACAAAGATCAAAAACACTTAGAAAAAAGTTCTTTGATCCGACTGGATTCGAACCAACGTCTTTCACAGATAGCGCTACGGCTAAAAGTCGTTAAAAAGAACTACAAACCTGCACATGCACATAAATAAATTCTTAAGGTCCGCTAGTTTCTTCCGTGGCTTAGTTGGCATGATTTGCCAGAAGACGTTGGTTCGAATCCAGCCGGATCGAAATAATTTTTATAAATGTTCGATTTTGTATTAATAATGATAACAAATTAGTGGAGTAATATAACAAAAATAACTGAATATCATTCTGGTCAAACATTGTGACATTCTATACCTTAAAAAATAAGTACCGTGTCTAAACATACCTGTTCGGACTGGTTTCTGCCCGCTGCTGTAGAAGGCTTCGCAGCTTGGCGATGCTGGTAGACAAGTCTGCGGCCTCCTCGTACTCCGGCTCCGGAGAGTCAGACAGGGGGATCGGTGGCGGGGGGAATTCGTCTCTTACAATTGGCCGCGGTTGCGACGCCTGGGGATACGTAAATACAATTTTTTTTTGTGAAATCAAGTAACTGGACGAAGAAGTCGTGGGGCTGGTGGTAACATAAACGCCTGTCCATAACAGGAGCAATAGAGCTCCGTGTGAAAGAGTTCGTCCAGGGAAGTACCTTACCTTACCTATTTCTGCCACCAAGAAGTAATGCACGCATTTCTGCGTTTCGATTTGAAAGGGCGCTGGTGAAATTACAGGCATATCTCCTATGTCTAAGTTTAACTGCCTCTGTGGTCGAACGGTTACCATGCTGATCTGCCACGCAGAGGTCTAGGCTTCCATTCCCGGGCTGAGAGAAAAAATTGTATGGCCTACATTAGTGTGTGCGTTATTGTTTGTTGTTATTGGCTCAGGGTGACTCTCTCTCTCTGAGCGACTCTGCAACTGTTATGGACAGGCATGTCGCTTACAACCAGGCGCACGACTTGTTGGTCCCGTCATTTTGTATCATAGGAAAATAGTTGCAGCTCCACTCAGGGCTTTACTACTTCCCTTCCCTTGCATTCCCTGAAACATAAAGATCATAAGTTCCACGTGCCTGAACGCAGTAATGCTCATATTACTGCTTAGTTACATATACATTTATGATAATAATAATAATAATAATAACGCACACACTCAACATAGCCCCGCACTAGGGAAACCCTGTGTCGCGGGTGCCATGGACAGACACATAGACAACCACAAATTACACCCAAACTCACGGGAGAAATAAATGTAGGCCATACACATATTTCTCCCGGCCTGGGAATCGAACCCAGGACCTCTGCATGGCAGTCCGGCATGGTAACCGTTCGGCCACGGAGGCAGTTATGAAATAAGAACTCTATCAGTGAATACATCCTACTGCTGGACGTGGATCTGTAGCCCACAAAACACACCTAATACATAACCTATAACATACAGACTTTCAAGTTGCAGGAACGGTCATTATTACTTACGGTTTGAATACAGAGAGTGTATGAACAAAGGTTAACTGACCACGCTTTCCTGCGACGCCATGCGCTGCTGCAAGACGCTGTCCTGGGACGCGACGCGCTGCTGCTTCACCAGATGCGGCATGCTGTTACCACTGTTCACCTCCTCTGCAATCACATAGGCTACTTACTGCCACCGCCACACTGCTATATCACTGTAAAGTTTCTTCATCATCATTATCACCAGAAAGACGTTCACAACTTAACATGAATTGACTAAATTAAACTTTGCACGTTCCACGTTGAGGCCAGTTCCAGAAACTCGGCCGCAATGTTCTAAATTATACGCACAGGCTTTTTAGTTGCTTCACCTTCCAAGGGCGGTGATGATCTTTTTTCTCTTATACGTCAAGATTAAGCAAAAAGATTGTATGCTACAAAAATCTGAATGTATTTCGCATAAGCTTAATGAATAGAAAAAAAGTAAACATTTGCAATTAAACTATAATTATAATAAATAACGCACACACTCAACATAGCACTAGGAAAACCCTGTGTCGCGTGTGCCTTGGACACACACATAGCCAACCATGGGTGTAATTTGACCCAAACTCACGAGAGAAATAAATGTAGGCCATACAAACTTTTCTTCCGGCTCGGGAATCGAACCTGGGACCTCTGCGTGGCAGTCCGGCATGGTAACCGTTTGGCCACGGAGGCAGTTTAAACTTTACTAAATTAATTTTATAAATTCAAATTCTGCAATATTTTTAGTATTTTGAATTGTTTATTTTATATCTAATACAGCGTGGCTGTATCCATTTTTACCTTTTACAACGTTTTAGTTCGAGTTGTTTACCTATGGAAGAATAGCTGGCCATCGGTTTTGCAAAATCCATAATTGTTATATTTTAAAGCGATATTTATTTTTCCTGCCTTTATCATTGTATTTATTTCCTCGCAAATGTGATTAAAACATTGCATGTAGCACGGGCGATAAAAAAATAACAAACCTCGAGTCACTGAAGCCCGCGGCCTCGTTAGTAATTTCTTATTTGCCGCCCTTATTACACAATGTACCTATTACATGACAAAGAAGAGAGTCAATTTGGCTTACCTGTCTGATCAATAAGAGCCGCGTTTTCTTCAACTTCCGCTAATGTAGGTTTATTTTTGTTGGCGTCTTGAAATCTTTCTTGTACCTTGTCCAGACTCTTGTCTTTCTCCTTGAAATGAGATGGAGATTTTTCCTGTTCAAAATATTAACTAATTCAAACTCGTGTAAATTTAATGATGGATTATCAATCTTATTTATTTCTCTGGATATGTTTGGCTAAGAAATATGTTACTTCTTTTATAATTCTAAAATAATAATAAAAATATCTTAATAAAAATTTCAATTGTAAAATATCATATTTTAATTTAAGTTAATTCAATAGTTCTACGCGACACTGCAATTACAAATGGAATCCAGTTTTATTTTAGAAATATGCAGGTAAATCTTTCTTATTGCGTATTTTTCATGTATTTATTCAATATGGTACAATGACATACACAAGTCACAATTACTTAATATTTTTTTCCTTCCTACGTCCTTACATCAGAACTACCTTTTGCGACTGCAATCCACTTACAAGTTAGTACACGGCTTATGCAATGAAAAAAAAGTACAGTAAACACGAAAAATAGGAACAAATAGTCTGTTTCACTCAGCCAATAACATTACAAAACTAACATCCATCGATTGCGCAAGACACCAATCCCGCGGTGTTTGGGTACAATTCATTACATTTTTACTTACATACAAAATAGTATAAAGAGAGATCATCAACATTTCAGCCTAAAGACGTCCACTGCTGAACATAGGCCCTCCCCCAATAAAATATTGTCGAAATGCAAAAATAAAATTTATTTAGAAGAAATTAGTAATTCATTTAGAGCTAATTTTGTTTTGTAACTATGATTAATTAATATGTGTTTGGTTAGTTTAAATTTCGAACTACATATATAGCCATGTCATTGGTTGATTTCAATTTAGTTCCACATTTCGAATTACGATTTATTATGATGTTTAAAACCGTGTTATTGGTCAGCTTAAATTTGCTTCTGAATTTTTTTATGAGAATTAGCTGTATGGTCTTAGAATAATAACGCATAGAAACCTAGTCCGCACACGCCAAATGAGGCAAATTGAAGCGCTCCCAATGGGCCTACGCGAGCGGGCGGGCCGTCAGTGCTCAAGGTCAACTTGCACCGCGAACAGCTCAAGAATTTTAGCTAAAAATGACGAAATGTGCGGTAAATGAGTGTAAAAATACGTCAGACAAACATAAAATAGATACTAACATCACATTCCACAAGGAAGTAACGCGTTTCAACTTGTATTTTTATATAAATAGTCATTAAAACCGAAAATTAACCTACTACTAAAACTAGCTTACATTTTAATTTTTGCCTCACTTGTGACTGTTCATTTGATATGAAACTATCATTCTATGCGTTATTAGTCTAAGTGTATGGTATGTACCTTGAGTAAATTTGACATACACATTGATAGTATTACCTGTAAAACACCAACGATGTTGGGTTTTATAAAAAGGAACGCAAGAGATTTTAGGTTGCCGCGGACCAAGCAACTCTTGTATGACTGTTTGGTTCGTATTAGCCTGGAATATGTAGTGTCGTTTGGAGTCCGATTTATATTGTTCACTCTCAGAGGCTCGAAGGAATCCAAAGAGCCTTACCAGATACCTGGCCTTCACATCTCCGGGAATTTCGTATATATGTCCTTATAACCAGCGATTGGCTTATTTTAATTTAATTAGCTTAAGGCAGAGACGTGAACTGCATGATTTGTATTTTTGCATAAAATAGGAAATGCCTCTACTGACTCAACGGAAATTTTATGTCGATATCTCGGTTCCGTATAAAGTTCCTCGTAAGCTTTTGTCTCACATATTTATAGTAACACGTAGCAGAACTAATTTGGGCACCCATTCTCCAGTGAATAGAATCAGTGCGGTGTATGTGGACCTTTGAAGTCGAGTGCCAGATTTGCATATTTTCAATAATTCCTTGCCTTTGTTCAGACATCCTCTATTGCAATCGTTATCAGGTAATTTAAATGTAATATACTATAAATAATATGTTTTATGTTTTAGTATTTATTAAGTAAGTAATCATATTATATTACATTTTATTTATAGTCGTATGAACCCAATTCTAATTCTTTCAAATTAAAATTGTTTATTAATCTAAAGTGACAAATAATTAATGAATGTTGTGTACTCCTTAATGGGATATGTATTAGAAATTAAAATGATTATTTAAGTATTTTAGGAATGTGTAATACGTATTCTGTGGATGTACCTTATTAAATAAATAAATACCTGATTGTCATCGCCAAGGCCGGTGAACCGAAGGCCTTTCTTGAGTCCCGCTATGCCGAAATCTAAAAGACCTTCCATCATGCCAGCTGCCTCGTCCTGTAGTCATATGCCAATTATTACGTAAATATTTAAAACACATTATTAATTTTCTTTTAGCGGGAAATTCTCAGTGTTTGGTAACTGGAGCGATGAAGGTAACAAACACCAGAACCTTAAGAAGAAGTTAATTAACCGACTTCAAAAAAGGAGGAAGTTCTCAATTAGACTTTGTTTGTGAACCGATTTTGATGATTTTTTTTTTTGTTGGTAAGAAGGTAATTCGGTATTGGTCCATTTCAATTTGAAGAAAATATTAGACCTAGAAATATTCGGCCTAGAGGGTCGGCAAACTAGATGATGAATCCGGTTGCGGCCACTTTCCGTTAACCGATTCGAATCGATAGATGTGATTTCAATTTTTCAGTCGATCAGCAAACTTTTGACGTCGACTTTTTTAATAAAAATCAAATAATTTAATATTTATTTTATTGCGAATATCGTGATATTTTTACTATACACTGATAATACTCCACTGGTTTGATACAAAGATCGAATAACACGAAAGAATCTTTTCGGTCTGAGTAGACTCGAACCAGACTCTGTTGCCACATCGAGGACAACGCTCTTACCAACTGAGCTACAGACCGAATCTGTAATATGGATTTTTTCTTCGTGTTATCCTATCAGTTAATATAATCAAAGCATAAAAGCTTTTTAATTGAAAATGGGTTGTGGCTATCTTTCTTTTGTCTAACGTTAATATTCTGTTGGTACCATATTCAAGTGAGACGCTTCCCTTTCTCCTTCCTAATGCATACGGCAAAGGAATCAAATACACTACCGGTGTCTGTTATTCCTAAAAAGTATAATTTGGGGCTAGAATGGACAGATTACTATACTCATCGTTTCTGCTGTTAGTGTTATTTTCCCCAGTCCAAGTGTATAGTAAACAAGATGCATGAACAACAGAAATTACACCCAGAATAAGACAACATATTTAAGAAGAATACCGACAATACAACGTGCAAAACAAGTGCAACATGTGGCATACCGTACAACATTGAGGTCACATGCAACGTACGTCGCTCATTCCATGTCAAAATGAAGATTTAGACTAGCTTCACATGACATGCGTCAGACGCACGTTCTGGGTACACGCGCTTACAACTACATGAATTTTATTCGTAAATAGCCGTGAATATACACATACAGAAGAGAGTTCAACGCGCGTCAGCTTATGAACACGTACGGCGGCTTACATTTAAAATTCGTAAATCAACGCGAGTGTCGAACGCCGTCGTGTGGACCAAATCTTAATTGCACATGACATCGATTTTTTTTTTGCTGACGCACTTTACGCACGAAACAATAGAAGTCGTGTAACGCGAAAAAATAGCGAAGACATCCAAACATATGCCCCGCACGGGAAACCTTGTATCGCAGGTGTCATGGACATACACATACACAACTACAAATTACACCCAAACTCACGAGATAAATAAATATAGGCCATACTAATATTTCTCCCGGCCCGGAAATCGAACCTGGGACCTCTGCGTGGCAGTCCGACATAGTAACCGTTAAGACTAATGGGTTCGACAATACAGTAATTTGACTATTCGACCGAGATATGTTTTTCTTCTTGAATACATTCTTCTCTGCTACATCTGGTACAATTCGCGAAATATGACGACTTCTATTATATCACACGTAGAATGCGTCGGCCAAAAAAAAGATCGTTAAATATTTTATATTTCGCATGATATGAGCGACGTTCTACTCTGCCAATAACATTACAAAACTAACATCGATGGATTACGCAAGACACCGACCCCGCGGCGTTGGGTATTATTGATAATCTATAATCTGTCTTTTTTGAAGAACCATCTTTACAGCAGTAAAATGACAGTGCCTACATGCGCAAGTGTTGCCCGTTGCCTAGTGATTGCAGTCGATAAAATATTCTATCGACTATCGACAGAATGTTGGTCAGGCTTATGCAATAAATAGTTGTTTCATGTAAATCATCATCAGCCCATTAATCGTCCAACTGCTGGGCACAGGTTGAATTGTCAATATTTGTAGGTTCATATATACATACACTGCATTTACTATATGTTGATTAAAAATACAAAGAAGAGACATATTTTAAAGTTTTCCATTTTAGTTAAATATAGATAATCATATCCATCTGTTCTTATTAAGATGTATATTAATAAAAATTGCTTTCGATACTAATAGGGCAACTCACAAAATAAGTTTATTAATTAATTTATTTATTATTAAAACATCGTAAAATTCAGACATTTTTGGCAAACATTTACCTTCTTTCACAATCTGTCGATAAACTATCGAAAACAAAAACATGACTATTTAAAATTTCACGAAAACTGGCAACCCTGATAATGTAATTTTACTCGGTCTTAAAAAAAGACAGACTATATGTAGAATTCACGAAACATGCATGGTATCCTAACCAGTACCTCTGCCATGAGTTAACAGTATTGACAAATGCCGGCGTCAATTACGGAAGTGACCATACTTATCTGCACGAAACACATTAAACCGGTTAGAAGCAGCTTTAGGTATGTCATGTGTAAAACAATAAGAGTGAAAAAGACAGTACGAGCGCAAGTTAAACGCTTTTTTATGCGTGGATATCAATTGCTTATTTTGAACTCCTCGTTGAGCCTCTTTGCATGCTCAGAACCGAAACTCGTGACATCGACGCGTTATCTTGAAACATTGTCCATACGCGACAGTGTTCTAGGACTAATGTATATTTTGGAAATAACTTTTTGAACTAAAGCGTGAAACACACAGAGAGCGGGTGCGGCTCGGGCGCGGGTCGGGTCGGGGCCGAGGCGGGTCTGGTTCCGTGTATATGAAAGACAGCATACCGAGCGCGGGCGCGTGCGCCCGTCCCGCTTTATTGAATTGAACCCGCCGCGGACCCGACCCGACCCGCGCCCGACTCGCACCCGGTCTCTGTGTATTTAACGCTTTAATTGCATATATTTGTTCTTTCAAAGAAATCAACGTTTCAGTCAGCCGTGACAGTGGGGGACCTGTTAAGGGCCCGAAACGTTGGCTTGTTTGAAAAAAAAATATATAAGCAATTTAGTTTCGAAAAAATAGTTTCAAAAACTTGATAGTTTATATTTATTAATTGTTCTAACGCCTTGATTACTTTAACTTTATTCATTATTTTTATCGACATAATTTTGGTTATAATTACCATCATCAAATATGATTTTGTTATTAAACTCCAGTTATATTGAGACTGTGTAGATAAAGTACCCACCTAGCTTTGGGTTTGTGTGATTTAGTATATCGAAATTAAGATTTTATTTATTTATTACATGGGCCCCAGTATTTGAAGCAAATAAATGAGTTAGTACTATCATATTATCATAGTAAAATTTGTTTAAACTAATTCAATTATAAAATATAAATCGCTTTTAAGTCAATATTCAATTAGTTGTCTATTCTGAGTTAAAAAGCAACATTTCATTACCGATCAAGATAAAATCAAAAAAGTTACGTTTTCTTTGACGCGTTAAGTGTATTTCTGTGTTTTGATAATTTTACAAAAAACTATATTCATATAATTGAAATCCTACTAGACAAAATGCCGTAAACTCTATTATACTTACTTAGCAAAACTTGACTATACTTTTGGTGCAATGTGAAGCTAGAAAGTAGTAAAAGTAAAATAAGAATTAACACGTATGGTCCACGAAAAGATGTTACATGACTTATTCACCATTACAGATTTACTAACTTTCGTTTGCACTGTTGCATCCGCGAAAGAAAAAAACAGTGGAAGCGCCTTAAGCTTCGATTAATATCATAACTGCTAAAATAATTTAAACTTTATCCTGTTGGCATATCGTTGAAAGTTCATCAATGCCTATTATTGCAAGCTACGTTTTTATATTATATTGAAATTTCAATCAATGTGCTGCCATCTAGCGATTGATTACTGAACGACGAAGAATTGGAGTTATTAATTTAGTTCTCCAAAAAAGGTTATAAGCGTTACTTTCGTTTCTTGTAACAAAAAAAAAATTTCGATAAACAGAAAATTTAAAATTTTTTAAAACATGACTGTCCGATGATATTAAATACCACCGCAGGTAATATTTTTGGTGCGGCCATTGACTTACAAATAAATGGACGACGGGTCTAATACAAAAAATCACGAAAAAAATGTCCCAAGTCAACCTATTCGAAATTTAAATTGTAATGTCATCGCAGTATCGCGCTGTCAGTAGAACAAATGAAGACTAAAGCGGAGTGTAGCGCTCTGTATACGATTTTAGCGCCTTACAAGTGCGGACACTTTTTAGCGCGGACCCGACGTCCATATAATTGTAAGTCAATGGGTGTGGCTATCATTCTTGCACTCCAAAACAGCACAAAAAGGCCTTTTTCTAGGATTTTAGAGAATTTGCACAAAATAATGACACATCCATACCATACAAAGCGAAAATGGCGGGCAGAGCTCAAATAGGTCTTTCGAGACCTATAATTGGCACGCGTCAGACGCTAACTAACCACTTCTAGTGTATTTATTGTTCTGTGGTTGCATCACATATTTCTATGTTCGCTTTATGTTGTTTTTATATACAACATTTATCTTCAATCTCTCAACTTTTCGCAAAATAGTAATTCAGGTCAGGTGGGGTAAGAGATAGATACGTTATTTTGAGGTAAACGTTTTGAGCTCTAGGAAGAACGTTTATAAAGTATGATAAGAATTTTGAAATACACTAAACTTGCCTTTGTTTGTCAGCTTCAGGTACATGGTTTAACAATCATTATGCTAAATTAATATTTACGATCGACGTCGAAAACGTGCAAATTGTGCTGACGTTTCTCTTCCTCCAACAGAAGGAATAAGGGGAATAGTCATCGCATTTCATAAAAAGGTAATGTATTATACTTAATGTGACCGTTCAGAGTGGGACTTCTGTGAATTTATTATTCTTTTAAAAATAAAACACATGTTTACGATAGTTACCTGCCTCCGTGGCCTAACGGTTACCATGCCGGACTGCCACGCAGGGGTCCCAGATTTGATTCCCGGGCCGGGAAGAAATATTTGTATGGCCTACATTTATTTCTCTCGTGAGTTTGGGTATAATTTGTGGTTGTCTATGTGTGAGTCCATGGCACCCGTGACACAGGGTTTCCCTAAAGCGGGGCTATGTTGAGTGTGTACGTTATTATTATTATTAGTTACGAAATGTTTAATTATTAAAAGAATAATAAAAAAGACGGAAAACGTTTATGTACAAAAATTTTAAAAAAGAAGTTGTATGGTCTGGTGGGCGGGGATTTCTTAAATTTATTGTCACAGGTGTCGTGGTTTGTGCAAGCGAGACATTTTTAAGTATTTTGGGATAAGAAGATTAAAAGCGGTACTACACCCCGTGTTCTCAACATTTCACAACTGCCAACTTTATTTATTCCGGCTTTTGGATTTAAGTACCGTAGCAATATCTCTGTTAAACCATTTGAACTAATTCGTTTGCCTGTTTTACCGACTGAGAGACTATAGTGTTAAACTGTTTAGATTATGAGTTAAGGTTTAAGTCCTTCCTGCTAGGTGTTCCTCTTACCCAACCTGACCTTAAGTTTTGTTTTGTAAATTTGTTTAAATAACTGACGCATGCAGGGTCGCAATTAATTCCTTTACCGTATGCAATAAGAAACAGTAAGCAAAGCGCTTAGTGCGAATGGGTACTATAGCAATTTCAATGCATTCATCTTTTCGTGGTACCTATTTACTCCCGATATCAAATATACCTCTGCATTGGAACTCGGAAAAAGAAAATATGAAATGTATTTGTTTAAAAATGGAGTTTTACACATCTATTCCAAATCATTATAACACATAGTAGACCCTCTTACACCCTTCCTTTAGAGGATATCTGTAAAACTAATTAACAAGTAACCTGATTCTATAGAAATCTAAATGTAACCTGTACATAATTCCTTTAATTCTAACAGGTAACTTGAATATTTTGGCGATAACGATTTGAATTGCAACATTATACTACATTATAGTCCAGTTCTCACTCGATTTTAAGGTTCACTGAAAACCTCTGCGTAATCTCGGCTGTGGTATTAGTTCTTAGTAGTAGTAAGCTCCTTGTGCAAGAGTTCATCCAGGGAAATACTGCCACCTTACCTATTTCTGCCGCCAAGCAGTAATATGAGCATTACTTCGTTCCGGTTTTGAAGGGTGCTGGTGTAATTACAGGCACATGGGACTTGTCAACTTATGTCTCAGGGTGATGAGCGATGTGGCAGTGCCCCTAAGATCTGAGCGATGTAAATCTCTGAGTGGCACTGCAACTGTTACGGATAGGTGAGTGGATCGTTTAGCTAAAATTTCATATGTTTGCTTCAACAAGCAAAACAAATAACAAGGCAAACAACTTTGCTCTATAGCTTCTCAAGCAGAAGGTCGTGTGTTTGAATCTGGGTTTGTACCTCTGAGTATTTCGGAATTCATGTAAGAAATTTACCATCAGCTTTTCGGCCAAGGAAAACATTGTGATAAAACTTGCACACGTCATCAAAGCTACATTTATGACGGGCCATGGCAGAATAACAACGACGGCTATGTAATTAGCATTGCCCTCAGATATACAATATATGTTTTTTTTATTTTAATTTGAATTAACTTTATTTTTTCTTTGAAATTTATGTATTTTGCATATTGTCAAATAAAGCCGACTTTTTTTTAATGATATGTGTAAAAGCTCGCGTGGGAACGTTTCGACGCATTATGCCAGAAAATCCAGCTCAAGCCCTCCGATTATGAGAGGAAGCCTGTTCTCTGTGTAAAGCTCACCAATGGGAATATATAGACTAACTGTTATAATTATTATAAACCATGAGAATCTGAATTTGACTATATAAGTAACTCCACAAAACACGCCGTTTTGCTGGCGACAATTACCTCGAAAGTAAGTTCAAACGCAGAGGTATATAAAAGAAAAGAAACCAAGCAGATAGACCGTGCGGAACTAACATTGTTGCGGGGTACATCTATCTCATGTATGGGGACCTGTAGGTCGCCTATCTTTGTCTTGGCCTGGTGCACTGTGGTCTGAAGGTCTTTCAGCAGCTCCACTGGCTTTGGACTGAGCTCTTTCTTCACTGGACTGGGTTCCTTGCTATCCTGTAGTTCCATTTCGAGGCTGTCTTCTTCACCTAATTAGAGCAATGCAAGTACAACGTTAGCACACTTTAGAGAGATGAAAGTATTATAGGATTCTTTCTAACCTATTCTACATTTGATTTGTTACGTTAAAAAGTAATTAGGCGGGAAATGATCAAATGTGTCTTTGGAAGTTTCAAAATGGCCATCATAAAGATATCGCACCTCTCATGGAAGAATGGCATAAGTGAAGTTACGTCAAAAATGTCTCCAACTTATAACTCTATCGACTAATATTGTCGTGAAGAATTAGAGAGGATGTGGGTTATATTTTTCTGTATCTACTAAAGAAATAAACATTTTTGACGTAACTTCACTTATGCCTTTCTTCCATGAGGGGTGCGCATAGCGATTTCCCGATGTCAGAAAATTAAACTACTGAAGAATAATTACAATCGAACTGGGAGTACTGAGAGGCCAGGCCAATTAGACGCCTTGGCCTGTCCCGAATGACGAAAAATTTTACTACCACAAACGTCTCTGACACATCTCGCGACTGGCGATCTTCTTTGTGTAATAATTAATAAGAAATTAGTGAGTTCACACATTATCATGCCGCATGAATTTCGCAACCACAAACTAACCTTTATCTACTAACAATTATCATAAAATTGTGTTTTCCAAACACTACATAAATAACAGGTAGTAAATAATAATAAAGACATTGAAAACCAAATACACAGACCCGACAACAAGCACATAGAAAAATTCGTGAGGTCCGCTAGTTCGTTCCGTGGCTTAGTTGACATAGCGTCTGGCACGGTTTGTTAGAAGACGTCGGTTCGAATCCGGCCGGATCGAAGGAATTTTTTCGTGTTCGATCTTTGTATTAATTATCATAACGAACTAGTGGAGTAATTTCACAAAAAATAATTGAATATCAATTCAATACAAATTTAATAATAAATAGTCAAGAAAACTATGAAGAAATGGATTAAGCAAAAAAAACATATACTTACCAAACCACAGGGGTGGGTTTTTATCTGTGTCATGCTCTTGCCCCCAGAGGCGACTGAGCGTGATCTCGCCATCCAGAGTGGCTAGTAAATCTTGACCTAGGCTGATGCACTGTAGGTCTATGTCCGTCTCCCACGTTTTTACACTACCTATTTCAAATTAAACACAAACAGCAGGTGAATTAAATTAATTACGGCTCTACTTCGTGAAGAGACTGGAGCATAGTCGAAACTGACAACACCTATGACCAATCGGCACGTACGTTATGCATAAACAACAATAAGGTTGCTCAAAATATAACATTATTGACATGAAGGTTCTCTATATCATGTAGTAGCTTATCACGGAGGTGCCTTAAAATATAAAGTTGCTTAACATTTTGGCTACTTAAATAAAAAGTAGCCTTAGGAGTCTTAGGGTCGTATTCCAGAACTCTACTCAATGCTCAAATCAGGACTTAAGTATGATTTCAAGCACTGGAAATATGACCCTAACGGCAAGGACCTGAGTATGATTTCTAGTGCTTTAAATCATACTCAAGTCCTGACTTGAGCATTGAGTAGAGTTCTGGAGTACGACCCTTAGTCTATTCAAGAGGTTGGTGTTCTATAATTGCAGTCAGTGCAACAAAGAGTTTTGCAACCTCACCTTCAATAATTCTATCATAAATCTTAACTTCATTCCTTCCCTGCCTCCCTCTGCGTTGTCTCATCACTGGGGACGTTTTTATATCAACTGGTTCACTTTTGGCCAGCTCTGTTCCATCAACTATTTCTTCTACTTCCTCACCATTCATGGATACATCAAACATTTCATTTATAGGCCTTTGCAATATTGGTGCTGTACTTTTAGTTATTAAGGTTGATAATGCAGATTCTATTGTGGTTGTTTCCACTTTTGGTACGTCTATGTCATTAATTATTTCCATTGGTTCAGCTACTTCTGTTTTTATTTCTTGCACTTCTTGTTCCACATTTGTTTCTTCTGTTTTAATGACTGGCTTGGATGAATTATTTGTTTCTTCTTTTGGTTTATCTACATCTTTCACATTTGTAGATGTATTATTAATTTTGTTTTCCAATAAAGAAATTAGTTTATCATTCAACCAAATAGGATTTGATAAAGTGTTTTCAATGAAATGATCCAATTTTTTTGCCAAGACTCGAACTAATAATTCCGAATGTGGGGTATCCCATAACTCCCACGGAATTAGTTCTTTTAGAATAACTCGTAACAATTTAGTACAATGGTCAGCAGATGTATACTTTTTATCTGCACTAGTGAAGATTGGGTGTGATTTTTTGTAATGATATTCAATGGTATTACTCTGTGTTTTTTCGTGACGTTTTAAAGCCTTTTTATACTCTTTCAGGTGGGTTATTAAAATGGAACATATATCTACATGCACATCTTTGGTTTCTATTTTACTGCAGATCTGAAACAAAAAAAATAGCAATTATACAATAAAGGTTGTATTACAGAATTCTACTCTATGCTCAAGTCAGGATTTGAGCAGACTTGAGTATGATTTCTAGTGCTTTGAATCATACTCAAGTCCTGACTTGAGCATTGAGTGGAGTTCTTAGACCCTAAGTAATGAACGACGACAATACAAGCTTTCTTTCCAGAACTGTTGATATAACACCAAGTTCATAATACACAGCCCATCTATTTGTGAATCAGCACATCTACATGGGTTGTACTGAAGTTGATAATAACATATATAATATCACCGCACATATCCAAACGAAGAGGGAGCAAGAACTAGTATCCAGACCAGCATATTTACTGTACTCAAAACCAAAGTGAACTAATAATTTTCCATAGGTAAAATTTTTACACTTGCAAATGTAATTTTTTAAGATACTGCTCATTCACTAAACTGAGAAGAACAAGCAAGAAACTTCAGGGATTGCTGTTTTTAAATAAACTTAAATGCTATGACATAGATGTAGCATAGGTGAGGTAAACAGTACAGCAAGCAGAGAAAGACTTCCAATAAGTTGAAAGTATATTAAATTTTGTGTAATAAAGTTATGAAATCACACAGCAAATATTTATTTCAGTACTGACTTGGTGGACAGTTGGAGACATACTACCGTGAAATAAATAATTAATTACTTATTAAAAGTAAAGTGCACCATGTAGCTTAATTGAGACGCAGTTATACCTACGTTTGTATGTATGATGAGACCATACAACTAGATTCTGTAGTCAACTCAAGTCAAATAATAACTAATACCGAATGCCCTTGCCATTCGGTCAGGTGCACGAGTCAAATGATTATTATGTCAGAACTACTCCGAACTGCACCAGATCTTTCACCATGTCTGTATAAGGTTTTCTGGTGTGTTTAAGTGCGTAGTATATAAATGTTATATCGCCATTTCTATTTTTTCTTCAATTCATAGTAGCAGAATGCGATATCAACCAATTTTTTTATAGAAATATAATATTTGAATCATTACAATGAAATTGATATTTACAAAATGATGCCAAAACAGTGGAAAAAAAAAGAAGGCTGGCTTGCGTCATTCCAGTACAAGTCAGAATTGCTCTTTGGAAACTACGGGTTAGTAATGAACATTGAATTACAATTATATGGATGTCCGGTCCGCGCTAAAAAGTGTCCGAACTTGTAAGGCGTTAAAATCGTATACAGAGCGTCAAACTCTGCTTTAGTCTTCATTTGTTCGACTGACAGTGCGATACTGCGATGATATTACAATTTAAATTCAACGTTTTAGCTTTTTCATATTCCTTTACATGGGTTGACTTGGGACACTTTTTCCGTGGTTTTTGTATTAGACCCGTCGTCCATTTATTTGTAAGTCAATGGTAATGAATGATTGATTCAATATGAAAATTAGTAGATTACTAATTTGTCATTTGAATGACAGGATTAGTAATTATTACTAATAAATCTAATATAGAAATCATTTGCAATCGCACATCACCAATGTATCAGACAATATTTATAATAATTAGCTTCACCTGTATGATAATCATACCTGAAAAGATTTCCCGATCATTTGATCCAGCATTTGCTTACAAGCAAAAGGGAAACCTATATCCTGGGACACAAACGGCATGTACCACGACGACACAAGCTTCCGCTCCAACACAGTGGATATAACGCTAAGTTCATTCGTGTCATACTCTTTGTACGGGTCAACTTTTTCCAACTTCGGGCGCTTTGGCAAAATTTCAGTTAAAAACCCCAAATAAGGATATTTTCGCACTAAGCCATCAACATCGTACGTTATAGGCTTATTCAAATGTATCATCCACTGAATTGCCTTAAAACTAAACAGTACAGCCAAGAAAAATAAACACAAAACGTAAATCAGAAACCATACGCCTTTAAAAGGCGATATATTGGTGACATAATTAAGAAATATGCATATCAATGTGCCGCTGCTAGAAATTATCGTTAAAGATTCGAGCAAGTTGCGTTTTAACAACATTTTCAAGTCTTTTCAAAGATTTTGCGTGGAATGTTCATGTTTTGTATTGATTTTTAGAAGGGCGAATGTCATCGAGCTGCCATAAACAGCTGTGCGTGGCGCAGGTTCGTCTCATGGAAAACATGATTGTGGCAAGCTTGCATCAAACGTTCGGATCTTAGGTTCGGATATTGCAATATTCATTAAATAATCATGATGTTTTTACTACTATGATAAACATATCTATTGTTGGAACATAGAAAAATTTCCATTCTAACAGTATTCACATTATATGTTTTGTGAAAATACTTCACTAGTTTCTTAGTGATACAAAAGTCGAATATACATAAAGAAAAATACCTTTAAAGGACTATCCACACACATCAAGGCCGTGCCCGGGACGTGGCCGGGGCGTGCTAGTTTGTATGAACTGCGGGCCCGTCCCGACCCCGGCCCGGACACGGACATGTGTGAACGAGTTCATATAAAATATACGTAACGATATTTTTTTTGAACCCCTGACGGAGCACGGCCCGTCCACGTCCCGGGCACGGCCCGAATATATGTGGATAGACCATAATTCTTTCGACACAATAAGGCTCAACTCACACTGGTGGCGTCAGACGCGTCCTGTTTTTTTTTTATTCATCTCTATTTTCCAATATGGAAACGCGCATCGACGCGCGTCGACGCTTGGTTACAGTCGAGCGGTTTCCCGCGTCGCCGTACGTTACTTGCGCGCAGTGACGCGTCAGACGCCGACCACACAGTGATAAGAGTGCGCTAATGCGAGCGTCGTTGCGCCACGACGAGCGTAGCCATGCATTGTAGTTGAAAAGCAAGACGCGACGCTTCGACTCTGCGCCAGTGTGAGTCAAGCCTAAGACAATATAGCACAAATTATATAGATATATGAGCATTCAACTTGCAATAGACAAGTTACTATCATTTCATGCTATGAGTAGAGTCGTGGTCTGAAGAGATTTTAAAGGCTTCACGACTCACGCGTGATTCATGCTATGTCTGGTTGGTCACACGCACATTTTTATACTTGTCACAGGATTTTCGTAAGGTAGAGATAGGAATGACTCGTTGCTTATTTTTTTTAATATCATAATCATTGTGGCGTGTATCCATCCCGACTATTCCGAGACAAATGTCAATTGTGACGTGTACATGATAAATCTTTGTTAGCATTGCGAATTTTGCTGATTTCAGGGATCTTCTTCGACTCTTGAGCCAGAAAACTAAAATGTAAGTGTAATTAATGTAATTGACACTATTATTTGGCAATTGAATACAGTATTTATTAAATGTATTTAATTTTTCAGGTCGAAAGTTACGTTTAAAATCACCCTTACGTCGGATCCAAAACTACCATTCAAAGTGTAAGTTTCAAATACAATTTACTTTTATTAAATAAGACATTGTGAAGTAACTTCAACGTAGTAGTCAGTCATGAAATAACATTAATTTATTTGAAAAACATCTAAAACTGTAGTAAAATTTAGTTTGTTACTGTTAACAGGTGCTGAGTTGTGGCGTTTCTACATTGAAGTTACATCGCTTTATTGACTTAAAAACATGGACGTTGCTGCAGTCCGAGAGTTCATCGACTTTTTCCAAGAGTTTTTGGCCATAAATGAGGATAAAAATTGGCCTCTAGAATCCACTACTGAAAATGAATTTAGAGACGCTTTTGAAGTAGCTGAACACATCGAAAAATGCGTCGATAGGTTCAAACGACAAGGCGTTTTTGAAGAATTTCTTGACACCCTAATAAACGACAACCAAAGACGATCAAGACCATTTGTACGAGATTGCTTGACTCATCCGCCAAGGATAATTTTGAAGAAGATTATTAATTCAAAAACCAGTATTAAGCAAGTTGAAGTCGGAGTTAAACTTTATTTGGAGATGTATTCTGAAGACATGTTACATTCAAGTCTCATAGATCTTTTTGTGGAGACAGCATCTAAAGAAACTTTGATAAGAAACTTGTCTACAGAATTGTCCGAGGGACAGCTTGTTAGGTTTCAAACAAAAGTATTCCTGAGTGAATTAAACAGTTGCAATGAACCAGAGAACTTTGTGAAAGACCTATTAAATGATGCGAGTCAAGAATGTTTAGAGATAGTACTTGTAGGTTTGCTGAATGAAGAACCGAAATACCAAAATGCAGTGCGTAGCATTGAAGTAGTAGTCGAGCAAATTATGGTCCGTAAGCAACTCGCAGATAAAAAATTCTGGAAGCATTTTTTCCTAATCAGGGACAAATATTTCAGGAGAATATGCCGCAAATATCAAAATTTGTTTGATCATGTATGCACTGTACTGTTTGATGTCGGTAGACTGTTTAAAGAAAAGATGTCCATGGAATTCTTTTATATTGAAATGTCATATAAAGATTTTAAGTATGTAGTACAAACCCTGTGTGAGCAAATAGAGATGAAGTATAAGTTTATTGATATTGCACTGGAACGTAGTGGTGACCCTGAGTATTGGACGTGGTTAATTCAAAAAGTTGAATTTTAAATAACTTGTCGCTTTGGGCTAATGGGGTAAATAATAGTAATAAATCGAAAGACAGAACATTCCATATTATAGGCCAGTTGGTATTAAATTTCTTTCATTGTTTATTAAACAGTGTCACTTACAACCATCCAGGCTCACAACTTGTTCATCCCATCACTTGATGCCATAAAAAAAACTTATTTGACTTGTGTGAATTCATTCATTCAATTGAAAATTAAATTTAAAATCATCATAAAAATTAGAACAATAAGGAAAATAAAGTAAACATCAAAGATTTCAGCTACAATAAATATGATTTTGGTCTTACTAATGCAATTGTTAGTTGTTTTATGTAATAAGTAGGACTGAAAAGGGTACTTCAATGGCTTGGTCATATAGAGTTATAGAATGAATGTGAAGCGAAATGCGAAGAATGAATGTGAAGGGAAATGTGAAGATATTAGAACTTAGCTTACAGATGTCAGATTGAGTGTGTGCTTAATAAAGAACATACAAATTGACTTTGTACCCAAAGAATGAACTTGAGTGACTAAAATGGATGATAGAAGTAAAAGAAACAAAAGGGATATATCAGGAGTACAGCATGTTGATGTTCGTAGGCACTCCCTCACTGGGAGGAAGACGTGGTATGTATTTCAATTATTATTCATATGTATAGTTGTGGTGAAATATAATGATTACCTACATATTTTAAGAACGTGTCGACATGCCCCATCGCAAACTTTTTTCATAATTTGTAAAATAATTATTGTTTTGTCGTGTTCTCAACACGAGGGAACAGACATTACATTAAAGAAAGACGAATATTGTTTAATGTTGTAACCTTTGTGAGAGACTAAAGTCTATACTAGGCAACTAAACTTGTATTATAGCCTTCTAGTAAGGCTAGCACGATAAGGCGCGACTTGAGTGAGAGCAACATAAACTGCTGCTGTTCTCGCATAGAAATCACGCGCTCTATGTCGCCGTCGCGCAAGTCCATAACCCTACAGGCGTCACAAAAAAGCAACAGAGATTAACAAAGCTTTGTCCGCGCTTGTACAAATTATGATACACATTTGTGTCGGGAGCTTCATAATTTCATTCCTTTGCCTCGACATGATTATTATGTAAAAAAAATACCATTAAAATTTTGAAAAGTTATCTAAACGTATTAGTAGTTTCCAGAATTAAATATTATCACAGAGTTCTTACGCGGTCCAAGAGTTCGCGGTATGGAAGAGTCGTAAATAAAATTAAAACAATGAGACATTTTTCATTTTAGATCTAGAAATCAGCTTTGCTATGCATTGGCAAAAATATTTTATCCTTCGTACATACTCTAAATGATCCCTCATGGATTTGTTTTAAAATTATAATAACTATGTAAAGTAGTCATCTTAACACTTATCTTTTTAATGCTAGTTAACAAGATTTGTCAATATTGATGTCTTGCTTCAGTGTCTCCAATAATATTCCACATCTCCAAAAAGTGCCTTCGAATTATTGTTGCTTTCGAGGCAGTCATGCCGATAATCTTCAAAATGGTGGAGAATCTTCCAATATTAATTTTTCGATTTCAACGATGTCAAATGTGACCTCAATTCCCCGTCTTCGGCGGTGATAGTCTTCAGTCGCTACCCTGTCACGTTTGAAAAAACTGTCCACTAAATCATTGTTGTACCAGAGCACTGATCCTCGCAAACGACTCACAATCATTACGGTTTGGGGATATTTTTTTTGCTTGATAACGAATAGGATTAAACGAAACTCTATAATTGCAGATTTCTTCTCGTTTTTTTTGTAGGACTATACCACGTAAACAAATAACGCTAAAACGTTGAAACTTAAATCCTAATGAGTATTATACCGATCAAATGTACTTTCGATTTCGTTATGATTCAACTGCCTCCCACCAACCCCATCCCGTGGACTTGTAGACCTCGGTTTTTTCTTAATAACTCATTTCACGTGACGTTAGACAATAGGTTATATAGCGTATTAATAGTTGTATAGAATTTTAATTTCATTTCATATTTACATTATTATATAATATAAACAGTGTATTCAAATATAACATGTAGTAATAATACTTTAGTCAATTCAGTATTATATATTTAATATTATTCTAATTGATAATATCGACACCTCCAATGAACATTACGTCAACTTTATTTTTTGGTCACTTCTGTTATTTTTGTGAACGGCCATATTTATTTACTAATATTATGTTTCTCAAATTTTGCGGAAAAAAAGAAACAAAAAACAAAATTCGAAAAAAAAAACAAATTTTGGGAAAAAAAAGAAAAAAATACAGAACAGGTCCAAAAATTAAGTTGGCGTAGTGTTCATTGGAGATAACGATGATATAGTGTTCATTAGAAGTATAAGGCTATTAAAGAGCAAAACCTAGTAAGAGAAAAATGTTTGAAAATATTTTATTAACTGAATACTACTCCCATAGTAAGTACTCGCCTAACGGCGTTCAAAGTCTCTTCACAATTTTACAATTTGTCACGATAATTTATTACGAGTTTTGAAACTTTAAAAATCTAGTAAGTCACACCCTAGTCTCGTTCGTGATGCACAAAAAAAATCTTTTAAGTCACTGTAACTCAAGGTTTTAAAGTAGTTAAATGCCTTACTAGGTATTTGAACTGGCATTTAGTGGATAATCAAAAAAGAATCTTAGTCGTTTTATTAATTAAATTAGTCAAACAAAATCAAATTTTGTTCCAAATTTTCTAATGCTGTAACTAAACCAATACCCAGCAAATGTTTTTTATGCTGTGTTTTGATTCTGGCTACCACAGTAACTTTACTTATGTATACATTATTATTTAAAGTTAGTAAGGGTATAAAATATGTAAGTTAAGATCATTTTCGTGACATCAATATTTGTTGATTGTTGCCCTACCTAATACTTTTTTTACATTAATTTGAGAACGACCTTGATTTGTATAAAGCCCAAAAGGCTTTCCTGTAAAATTTTTTTACTAGGTTTTGTTATGGAGCAGCCGCACATCGCACAAGTTTGTTACCGCGGTGTAACTGTTCGGTATTTCAGAGCGGTTGCATGGTCTATGGCTTCTGGTTGGTACAGTTAGTCAACAAGTATACGTTTATACCGCGATAAGTAACTTGTAACTAGTCATACATATTTAATGAATAGCCCAGAAAGTTAAAATGTTTTATCTCTGAATCTGAATGTTTTGTATGTGTAATCTTTCCAAGTGCTATTTAATAAAATTATGTGCCAATCAAACATGTGTATCATTAATTTGCCTTTGATTATTTTGATTATTTTATTGATTGCCTGCCAAATGCTCTGCCAATTAAGTCACGGAACGAACTAGCAGACCTTAAGATTTTATCTATGTGCTTCTTGCAAGTCTAGCTTTTTAATTTGAATTTGACTATAAACTCCGCCATTACAGGCTGAGCGTGCCCGAGGCGACCCCTTTCACGGCGGTGCTGAAGTTTGCAGCTGAGGAGTTCCGCGTGGAGCCCGCCACTAGCGCCATTATCACCGACGACGGCATAGGTATCAATCCGCAGCAAACCGCGGGTGAGAAATCTTTATAATACATACTTAGTAATAGAGTAGAATTATAATGATGAGACATTAAGTTTCAATCAACAAACTTTTTGAATACATTTTAGTGGTTAAGCAACCCTAAATACCCTATTTGCGAAGTAATGTGTTCTGGTAGACACTACTGTGTCTATAGAATTTTATTGCTGTAGTTCTGTCATGTATTGAAATTTGATTTAAATCAGACAGTCGGTATTATTATCCGGCGCTTTGACTTTTTTTTTATAAAAAAGGGATCTCTATTTGTCTTTTCGTCTTCATCATTTTGAAATTGTATTTAAGTGTGACCTCTCCCTCCTTTATCTATATTTGTCATGATGATCTGGAGAGAGCGGGAAAATTATGAACTCTATCACAAGCGTACCATGTTAGTGGAACCATTTTTTGAGTAGGTAGTTACAAATTGACTGATTATCGATAAATGGAATTTTCTTTAAGCATGTGGTAGTAGCTCTTATAAAAGAGTTCGCCCAGGATAAAAAGCATTACAGCATTACTGTTTCGAAGGGTAAGGGTGCTGTACACATGGGATTTATCAACTTGTGACGTGATGGGCGCAGTGACAGTGCCCCGCAGATATTTGCGAATTAAAGCTCTGATTGGCAGTGTTATGGGTAGTTCTGTCGCTTACCACCAGATGCATGGCTAGTTCGCCTTTGTGTAATAAAACAGAAATGTTTGTTCATTTGTTTCAGGCAATGTGTTCCTGAAGCATGGCTCAGAGCTGCGGCTCATTCCGCGGGATCGAGTAGGTCGTAGCTCCACTTAGGCTCAAACATTCCATGATTTAACATTTTTGTATCGCTCGCCTATTTTGTTGCGTCGGGAACATAATACTTATGAAATAATAAGGCAAAAAGTTTAGGAAAAGCCCTGAGAAAGAATGCACGTACTAAGATTCACCCTGTATAACCAATAAGATTGGCCAGGGTGAGTTGAAAGTGTTTGTCTATGGTCCACAGTGTTGCCAGATGGTTACGTTTTTTACATTTTTCGTAACTTTTGACCCTCCCGCGTAATAGGTACGTAACTTTTGTTTTAAGGCGATTTTCATAACTTTTGAGGACATTTAAATTCAAATATATTTGTTATTGCAAATCCTAAATAGTTTACGAACGCACCCAAATCAGACAACAAAATAACTCAGAGATTACGCAAACAAAATTTATTACTGGTTGTAATAATAAGCACTTACTTTTTTATTTTTAGGATTAAGGTGTATATATTTTTAAAGAATTTTTTTTCTTAAAACACGGAACTTGTAAGATGTAACTTTGCAGCAAAAATCTAACTTGTCAGGTAACGTAATGTAATTTTTGTCTCAAAGATCCTTGCAACACCGATAGCTCATTATCCAGCCAAGTGGAGAATGGAGACGTGTTTTAACAAAACCAATAAGATTTCATTATTTTCACCATCATCTTGTCTGCTTAAAAACAAAACCACATAAGTGAAATTTTCCACAAAAAATCTCCATATTATGTAAGAAATTCACCATCTTTCTGCAGATAAAACTCTTATTAAGTTTATAGCTTTTTCGTTATTGAGTTTCACGTGCAGAAAGCTAGTGATTTTCTTACCATAGCTATATAAATTAAAGACTTTGTAGAAAATGTCACTTATGTGGTATTACCTTTAAACAGACGATTATCTTTATATCAGGACAGTCTTGCTTGTTCACACATCTCCTAGTCGCTCCTCTTTGGTGAATTCTTTACGTTTTTAATATGTACAGGGCGCAACAAAATCGATGATCTTATTATGTATAGAGTTAATATATTACACTGTATGCTTTATGTTGTGAAATATAATAATTTTTTTTAAATAATAAACTTGATTTATTATTTACATACACACATAAATATCGTCACGGCAGTCTTTCACTAGGGTTAATATATACAGGGTTATAAAATACTATAAGTAAGTAAAATTTTTGTTCCTTGACTTTTTACAAGACAACAGGTTTACCAAAAATAAAGTTTTTAGTTTGTTTTCTACTATCTGACGCTTTTTGTATCTGTATTTGGCAGTAAGGTAAGTTCAAACGTGCAAGCGTCCTCCGCGACGACTCCCACCCCCGTCCTGCACAGGGTTATTACCGTTCTCTATATAGATAGAGATATCTCTATATAAATAGATTAAATATTCTAATTTTTGTATGAATGTAAAATCTAGCGTAGTCGACTAATTATTGTTTGACTTGAAAAATACTTTTCCGTGGTAGTTTTAGTAAGGCAACATCGATCGTTTTGATTTAATGAATTGATGCCATCGCTGCTCTGTTCAACTCCTCCGTGGCCGAACGGTTACCATGCTGCAGAGGTCCCAGGTTCGATTCCCGGGCCGAGATAAATATTTGTATGATCTACATTTGTTTCTCTCGTGAGTTTGGGTGTGATTTGTAGTTGTCTATGTATGTCCATGGCACCAGCGATACAGGGTTTCCCTATTGCGGGGCTATGTTGAGTGAGTACGTTATTATTATGTTACTGATATTTTAGCCGAATAACAAATATGTATATACATACGAATGTCAGTGGAGTCTCAATGGAATTACAAAGACCAGGTTGCAAGAAAATAAGCAACTCGGGCGTGGTGGATTATTTCCATATCGACCCCGGAAAGCGATCTTGTCGTATCTCGAAAAATAGACCTTTACACCAGGGCCGAAAAACTGTTTCAAAAAATTATTTCTCTTTAATTTGAATTAGTAGATAGTCATCAAGTCATGATTATATATATCATGCTTTAAAATTTACTTTCTATTTTTGTCCTATTTTTCGAGATACGACAAGATCGCTTTCCGTCGATATATATATAAATAAAAATTCAAAATAAAAGTGATAAAACTTTAATTTATTGTACTTAAACTCTAGTGGAACAGAAGTAAATAAAATAACAATCAATTTTAAAACAATTATACAGCATGATATCGCAGAACTCGTATATAACAATTTTTCAATTAACCTCCTATACATACATCGTCACGTTGTCTTACAGCGAAGTAGGCAGACATTACGGACGGAAGTCTACTTACTACGATTACGCCCGCCACTTACCGATTAGGAAGACACTAGAAGCCTCCACGGGATACGTACTTAGGACTCTAGGACCTCTTGTTAACGTCAAAGGAAAACATCGTGATGACACCTGCACGTTGAAGGTTCACAACTCGTGGATAAAGTGTGATGCTTCAACGCACGTTGAATAAACCAATTTCTAACTTTTGCACTTGTTCCAGTAAAAAACCACTTGCTTTATAGATCAATATTCTGCCCTCTTATCATAACCATATTCCAGTAACCCAAAGGGACATTATATTACATTGTCGAGCTGCAATTTATCAAAGCTACTCTAATTTGTAGTGATAACAAACAAATCAACTAGATGGCGCTTATGTACAGATTTTTAGAATTAGCGCCATCTATCCATTAGTATGGATAGCGTTAATTTATAAATTAGATTGTAACACACAATGCCATCTATTGATACGCATTTTGTCAAAGTTCGGAAAATAATTTCAGGTCAATATTGAATAATATTACAAGGAAAAAACTTCATCTTCAACCCATTTATAAGTTTCACTACTGCGCACGGCTCTTCTCTCAGGTTTAGGCCATAGTTCGCCACGCTGGCCCAATGCGAGTTGGGGCCTTGACACGTTTTCCGAAGGTTGTGAATCTTCTTCGACGTGCAGGTTTCATGATGATGTTTTCCTTTACCGAAAAGCTCATGATATATTTCAAATAAATTTCGCACATAAATTCCTAGAAACTCAGAGGTGCGAGCCCGGATTCGAACCCACGACCCTCTGCTTGAGAGGCAGTAGGTCGAACTATTAGGCTATCACGGCCATTTACATAATATACACTGAAAATCAGCGTCATCGTCTTTATTCGGATGTGACATTAGTTGAGTGAATCCTTTTACATACGTCACAGCCGCACACATGACATTTATTCAAATTGAAGTAAATATTGCACATAAGAAATGTATAGAGTCTATTTACAAAGAGCAACCCTTAGAATCTGCCTGACGAATGAATAGTAGTTTAATGAACGTGACGGTTTCCACCACAGAAGAAAAAAAACAATAGAAGTGACTTACGCCTCGATTAGTAACAGAACCGATGTCGCCAAAACTCACACATTGTTAATTTGCAACACTACACAATCTTGATATTGATTGGACGTAGTTTCAAATTAAGATTTAAAAAGAACTAATAAATTCTGGATTGTTAATATAATTTAAACTTTACCCTATTGACATATCGCTGAAAGTTCTATACCATCGATACCTATTATTGCAAGTTACGACGTTTTGATATTATATTGAAATTTCAATCAATGTGCTGCCATCTAGCGGTTCATTGCTGAACGACGACGAATTGAAGTTATTAATTTAGTTCTCCAAACAAGAAGCGACCATATTGCGGGGGTAAGCTTTACTTCCGTTTCTTGTAACAAAAAAAAAATATTTCGGAAAAAATATACACAGTTAAAATAAGATAAGAGTTTCCGATGACATGAAATACCAACATGGGTAATACTTTTGGTGCGGCAATCATTTTTACACTCCAACAGCACAATAAGGATTTTAGAGAATTTGCACGAAAGTATGACACAACCATACCATACAAAACGAAAATGGCAGACTGAGCTCAGATAAGTTTTTCGAGACCTATAATTGGCACACGTCAGACGCTAACTAAGCACTTCTACTATATTTATTGTTCTATGGTTTCCACAATGTAATTTGCTTACCTACAAATAAGGGACATATTTTAGTAACATCGTAATTCTCACACAGTTACAACATAAATGTCAAATACGGCTGCTAGAAGAGAGTTGAATAAAGACGCGGTGTTAATAAAGCGTGCTATTAAATGTGATCCAACCTCAAGAGTCCTTTTGTGCCGTTCAAGGTCCATATCTTAACTCTCTTTCAGCTATCTTTAATTCATCTTAGTATTCGTGTAGTTTTTAAAAGAAGCATCTTGTATATTTTAAGTTAATTGATAACATTACTCAAGGTGTTTTGAACAGTGGTTCAGCCGCGCGAAGGAATGCCTTCTCGAACTCCGTCGTGGAAAAACGGTCCACAGACGCTCTGAAATGAAATAAAACGAAAATTGAAGCATTTGATGTATATTTATTTTTATCGAACATCATGATGATTTTACCACGATGTTGACCGATTTTTCGTGAAAATATTCCACTACTTTGTTATTATTATTGATTTAAAGATCTAGCGAAGAAAAAAGTTGTTCCATTTAACCAAGTCATCAGTTGGTTTTTTATAGAGCTCTCAAAATGTAGAAATTCTGAATTAAAAACAATTTTTTTTAAACCTGCAATTTACAGAAAATGTTTAAGGATTTTTAACACTATGTAACGTAAATGGGAACGGAACAGATTTTTTATGTAATTTTTTGGCTAATTGACTAGTCGTCAATGTCATGAAAAATATATTGACAGATCAGGTGTCAATGTCATTATTGTTACAATGTAATTAACCAATTGTAATTAAGTTTTCAGCTGCCCTACCAGGACCCCGATTCAAAACTTGCATTGGTTCGATTGGATATATCGTTCTCGAATCAGAGGGCGCTTTCCGACCTATTCAAGAGCATTTCGTGTTAAATAGGATACGATATCGTTATCCAACAACGTTTACGGAGTTAGGCGGTGAAATAGATTATAGGAATGCATTAAAATAAATTAATAAAATTGAACAAAATCCACACTTTATTTAAAATAATAAGATGTTTCCATATTACATTCTTGGTTTCGACTCATCCGTAGAACAAAGATCTATGTGCAAGACTACTCGTTCTCAGGACATAGTACGTTTCGGTCGTTCTTCTTCGCTGTGGATGTCAGATCGAGTGTTGTTCGATATTATATTTCCGAAACGAAATAAGATATATAAATTCTCTAAACACCTTACAGTAGGCCTTAGTTTGAATAACGAAATTATTATCTTAACGTACTTATTCTTTTTTCGTTATATAATCACATCGGACTCTGTTCTTCGGATGTGTCGGTTTGTCAACAATAGGACGTTCGGTAACTTTCATTCGATAACTGTGTTTTGAATAACGTTTGTAGCCTTTGCCGGTCGGGAAGTTCGAATAATCGTACGGGTGTGATGTCATTTGTGTTGTCGGTTTGGTTTCGAATAATCAGAAATCGGTCTACAACTGAGTTACCTTAAGGTTTTGAATCGACCCATGATTTGATTTATGATAGTCTTCCATCTTTTATTCCTCGCTTCGTAAATTTCAAGTTTCTGGTTATTTGTTTTTACAAATGTATAATATGTATATACGTAGTGTTTTTTTCAAGTGGGATAGTATGGGGTAATCCGAAACCATAAAAGATACAAGGAAACTACCTTACAAACCATTAAGTGTTTTTTTGTGTAAATAATTTTGGCCAAGCGTGAGTGGTCCATAAAATGATAAAATTGATCAAGATTTTTTTAGTGCTAATCAATTCAGTTTCGTGAAGGGATAATTTCATTGTACGGGAAGGAAAAGATCAGGACACCAGAAGTTGGTCAAATTTCATGAAATATTTTTAAATCAATTTTATTCATTTTTACGGACAACTCTACTTGACTACGCGAAAATGGTTTTCACAAAAAAAGACTAAATGCTTACTAAGAAGTCTTAGTTTTCTTCCTTTTTTTTGTATAATATCAAGTGACGGGACGAATAAGTCGTCCGCCTGATCTTAAGCTACACGCCTGTCCACAACAGTTGCAGTGCCACTCAGAGCTTTAAATCGCAAAGATCCGAGACGCACTGTCACTGCGCCCGACATCCTGAGACGTAAGTCGACAAACAGTTGGAGCTCTACTGCTGCTTAACTCTAGTATCTAATTTAAAAAATTTCTATGCTTTCGGATTTGTCCCATTAAAAAAACAGTCTGTATATTATAGAAGGGACCGGTAAGTACAGTGGAGAACTAAAGAGGAAGAGCCTACCTGGCGGCGGAGACGATGCGGCGGCGCTCCGCGGGCTCCAGCGCCAGCACCTCCAGCACGGCGCGCGCGTACTCGTCGGGCTCGGCGGCCAGGAAGCCGGTGCGCGACGCGGGCGCCGTCTCCACCACGTCGCGGCGCGGCCCGCCCGAGCGGTGCGCGATCACCACCAGCCCCGCCGCCATGCACTCCACCACGCCTGCGGCCAGCGTCCGGCACAGTTAGCTACTGCCGTCCTACCTACTACTGCCATGCTAAGGGCGCTGTCAAATTACAGGCACGTTCCCAGGGTGACGGGCGCACAGGCAGTGCCCCTCGAATCTTTGCGATTTAAAGCTCTGAGGCAACTGTGAAAACAGGTGTGTAGCCTACCATCAGTTACTATGTAACATCCCTCGCGTACAAAATCGAACCAAAAGGGCTCGCGAAAATAACTTCGTACAACTTAAGGCTATGGGCGGGGGCTAAATAAATATGTAGTACCTCGTATATGTAATGATGTAATAATATTAATAATATTTTGGTGCTGTAAGGAGGAACTTGAATTTCTTATATATTATTGTAATTGTTATTGTTGTTTTGTTTAATAAGTAAGTCTGACCTACATGAGAAGTCTTACGTTCTCACTGCTAGGTATTCAGTTAATCATTAAGTAGATCTATAATTGTGTTAGAGCTTGCTCACCAACAAACTGTCTTTAGTTTGGCGGGAAAAAGACTTCTGTAAAATGTATACTATTTGAAAAAAAAAAAAAAAAAGAAAATACCTACGTTATAACAACCAACCAGGCGCTCACTACGAAGAAAAAGGAACCTAAGCTAAGCACGCGCTCAGAGAGGTGAGAATAACGTTGCCCACCGTGTGCAGTCGTGCAGAACCGAATGCTCACAAATGAAAGATTTGTATAAGCGCTTTCGCCGACGTCGGCGCACTCGGCAGTAGGCACTTATCACGTAACCTTGAGCGAGTGACAAAGCCCTGGCATTACTGCGTTCCGGTTTTGAAGGGTGCTGGTGAAATTACAGGCACGTGGAACTTGACAACTAAAGTCTCAGGAGCAGTGGCAGTGCCCCTAATATCTTTGAGATTTAAGGTCTGAATGGTACTGCAATGTTATGGACAGGCGTGTCGCTTACCATCAGGCGCACGACTTGTTCGTCCAGTCACTTATGTTATGTGCATGAGGACATGCACGGCGTTAGGATTGTCGAGTGTTAGGTTTGATGGTCAGAGTAATTTGTGAAGATTAAAGTCTAAATAATGGCAACACTGATTTTTAATTTGTAAGAACGTGGATTCGTGAGGGAGCAGCGAGATTAGCTAAGTTGAATGATGTTGTAATAATTCTGTTACTCATTATATTGTTGATTGATTATTCTGATAAATTTATTTCCTCCAAAAAAATAATAAATACTGTGAATGTGACTTTTATTATAATTAGTTATTACAAAAAAAGAGCTAATTTTACCTAAACGAAACATTCTTTCATTTTTCTTTATTTTTCGATTTACTAATCCATTACTAAACCCATATTAAATTAATGAACCGATGATTCATTTTCATACAGACTATGCAACCATACCCTGGTCATCTTTTGGACTAACATTTTTCAAATACAAATTTAATATGTTGTTGAAATGAACATTGTTGGAAAAAGTGATGAGATATCAAGTAAAAATCTTCAAAATATACGTGAAAGTGTTACTTATTCCATTTATTGAGTGATTGCATTCGAATTTCATCCAAATCCGGTTTCTTTACGTTTCCTGCATAATGGATTGAAATGGACTACACTACATCTGTGTTTCCTGAAAAGTACAATTTAGGGCTATTCACGGACAATAGCGTACCGTCGTCGGTTACAACATCGCTTAACATCAGATGAGGTTATGGCCAAGCGTGTGTCTATTGTGTATAAAAAAAATGACTTAAACATCGCTTACTAATCCCAAAGTGCTCGTTCCACATCGCGTGAATGCCGATGGTGGAAGTCTGGTAGAGCTGCAGCAGCCGCGCGTATGACGCGTTCACAACGAACTCGACGCTGTTTTCCAAAGACAGATGCTTCGCGAGGTCCTTCAGGTTCTTCACCCGTTCTTCATCTTCAGCGTTCCGGCAGGACCCCACAAGGACTAGTTTTATCTGAACAAAAAACAAATGCTATTGCGAACAGAGCGGTGGTAACTAGTGGTCTGATAATCAGATGCTTATTTACCTACAATTCGGTTGCTTGCTGCGTGAAATGCGCTTTTGTATTGACAAAATGATAGCTTGAGTGATTAGCGCGGTTAAGTTTTTAGCCGCGATAATATAGTATGCCATCGACACAATAAGAAGATTGAAAAAAAAAAACTAGCATTGACGAAATTATAAATAAAAATTAAAGAAATTAAACGTTTAAAACGTTACTTGTAATTCTATGCAACTTTTGAATTAACTGTCATTTATTACGAATGATTGGAATGGAGGGAGTAATCTACCTAAAGTATAAACATTTTCTTAGTATGGATATTTCGTCATCAATGCGTACAAAATTTCTAATCTTTCCAAAATATAGGTAGTCTCATGTTTATTTTTTAAATGGATAAAGTATTTAAATACGTAAGTACCTATATAAACACAAATACAATATTATTTTTTTATGACAATAATGTGTAGCAAATACTTAATAGGAAATAATAATTTGTCGCCAATGTACTCAAATATCATTAAATAACAGGCATATTCAAATATAATCAGTTCCAAGAAGTCCTGGGATTTTTAGAAGGGAATGTCCATGTTATTCTTTAGTTTAGGAATCAACGGCCTTAATTCCGATCACTGGTTATCACATTATAGAAAACAAAAAATGTAAATACTTTGGACATCATGAAAAAAATTGTAGTTTTAATATTGTTTCACCAAAACCATCGCACCATTGTTTAAGTTTAAAATTTGGCACTTGTAGATGTGCAAAGCACTGAGATCCAGTACGGCTAGCACGACAGGACGCGACTAGCACGAGAGCGACATACAGCGCGAGATACTGCTATGCTCTCGCACCAGTGCCTTGTCGTGCCAGCTACGGTTGACATATTCCTGGTCATCATTAAACTTTTAAGATATTTTTGCTGAGCTCCGATTTTGAAAAGTAAGGGTGCTGGTGAAATTACAGGCAGATGGAACTTGTCAACTTATGTTTCAGGGTGACAGGCGTAGTGTCAGAGCCCCTGAGATCTATGTGATTTACAGCTCTGAGTGGCACTGAAACTGTTATGGACAGGCGAGTAGCTTATCATCACGCGCACGACTTGTTGGTCCCGTCACTTGATATTATAAAACAAAGTTACTTTCTTGGACAGATAAACAAAATCTTCGATATAAAACTTGTGTACCTTGTTCCACAGCAGCTCATTCTTGATTAGCAAGTTCCTGAGCTCGTACATTGCCTGCAGCATCAGCGGGTGGTCCTTCTCTGGACGGAACTGCGCCACAGACAGGATACGGATGGGGTCCGATTCTTTCACCAGCGACCGCAGCTGTTTTAGCTCGGATACCTGACATAGGAAGTAATATGAGGATCTGCGTATAATGTATGGAGTATATACGAGTGAAATCAATATATACTAAACTAGTCACAATCGACATTTTTCTCGTATTCCTTCAAGATTAGACCGCTTTATAATTACCTCGCAAGGTGGATAGACACGGTGTGTGCTAAAGGGCATACGCCACAGCTCGTTGATGTGGTCCTCTGTCCAGGTGCCGTTCACCATAACGACGTGTGCGCAGCGCCCAGCAATACCATACATCTGGACACAATTGCATAAGCTGATTCACCAAGGTGAATTTTAACTGCCTCCAGGGCCCGACTGTCACGCAGAGGTCCCGGGTTCAATTCCCGGACCGGGAGAAATATTTGTATGGCCTATATTTATTTCTCCTGTGAGTTTGGAATTTGTCCAGTGAAGTACTGCCACCATATCTATTTCTGTTGCCAAGCGGTGATATGAGCATTACTGCAGGGTTTACTGGTTTACTGGTGAATTTACAGACACATGGTACTTGTCAACCTATGTCTCAGAGTGAGTGGTGCAGTGGCAGTGCCCGTAAAAAATATTCATAATGCTTAAAATCAAAATAAGGAATCATTCTTAGAATGACAAAGTGAAAATAAGAAAAGGACGACGCCACGTCCGTGGCACAATCCTCGACATTTATTCAAAGAGCGTGCTTTTTTTTTTATATATATATATAATAGACACACGCTTGGCCACAATCTCACCTGATGTTAAGCGATGATGTGACCGACGATGGGACGCGTTTGCCTAAAAAATGCCTATTCACTCTAGCCTTGAATAGCCCCAAATTGTACTTTTCGGGAAATACAGATGCCGGTAGAGCATTCCATTCCTTTGCCGTACGCATCAGAAAGGAGGAGGCAAAGCGCTTAGTGCGAATAGGTGGAATATCAACGACATAAGAATGGAGTGCTCCGGACCTTCTAGTCGACCGAAGGAGGAACGGTGAGGGCGGAACCAAATTGAAAAGTTCCTGCGCACACTCCCCGAAATGTATCCGCTTATTAAATGATATTGACTTTGGCAAGTTTTTTTTTATAATACCAAGTGACGGGATGAACAGATCGTGCGCCTGCTGGTAAGCGACACGCCTATCCATAACAGTTGCAGTGCCACTCAGAGCTTTAAATCGCAAAGATCTAAGGGACACTGCCACTGCGCCCGTCACCCTGAGACATAAGTTGACAAGTCTCATGTGCCTGTAATTTCACCAGCACGCTTACCCTTCGAAACCGGAACGCAGTAATGCTCACATTACTGTTTGGCGACAGAAATAGGTAAGGTGGCAGTACTTCCCTGGATGAACTAATTCACAAGGAGTTTTTCTGTCACTGAATGGCTATATTCTTACCCATCCAAACAGTTTATAATAAAGTAACTTGATCCAAGTAAAGACGGGGTTCCTGGCGATGACGCTGGCGTTGTTGTAGCTGACGATGCGGTGTTTGACGCGGCGCATCATCGCCGCTGTGATCGTCGGGTAGTGCACATAGCAGCCCACCGGGCACTGCGCCAAGTACCGGAATATGGGGTAAGTAAATGCAAACCCGGTTGTATCTATGAAGATATCTGAAAAGCCAAACATAATTAATAAGGTTGATTATCCTCATTGAATAATATGCACAGTTTTATGAAGATTTCATATTTTAGTTTCAGTCCACTTGGATTCATAATACGGAATTCAGTCAGTTTCTCAAGACCTAAAACTCTCCGAATACTGTATGGTGCGTATGTCCGTAGTAAATTGGAATATGGCTCCCAAATTTGGAATCCATGTTATCAAATTTATGTAGACAGAGTTGAACGAGTCCAGGAAACATTTATGAAATACTTATGTTATAAAATGGGAAAGTCTTTTAATTCAATCGAATATCTACGTCCTTGTATGGATCAACACATATTGCCTCTTATTACCCGCCGGAATATTGCTGATTTAGTGTATTTGTTAAACATCATAAACGGTGATGTCGACTGTCCCTAATTACTGAGTAGTATTGTATTTAATATACCTATGCGTTCCATGAGATACTACCGTCCTGTTGCAGTTCCCACGGCGAGGACTAAATACAGACAAAACAGTTTTCTTTATGGGGCTTGCAAGAATTTGAACGATGTGTCGAGCAGAAGTGAACTTAATATTGACATATTCAATTCTAATTCGAACTCATTAAAGCGTAAACTTGTGGACGCGTTTGTTTAATGGGCGATCATTTCGTGGCGCAGGTATTGGGATATATATATAATATATATAATTTACATTACATATATATACATATATACAAGATGTAGCGAATCGCTACAAATCTTTTTCTATATATTTTATAATAGTCTCTTTAAGTTTTAGTTTTCTACTTAAATTCTAAATTTAAACGTGATTGGCGTGATTTCTTGACTTTTGTGAGGTTTTGCTTTGTGACAACGTGTTTTCCAAAAATATTAATAAACTGTAAGTACATTTCGATACCTTCAATGAACACTAAGCCAACTTAATTTTTAGACCTGTTCTGTTTTTATTTTGTTTTTTGTTTCTTTTTTTTACAAAATTCGTTTTTTTTTGTTCTTGTTTCTTTTTTTCACAAAATTCGGGAAGCACAATTAAGATTATATTTATATTAAGCAGCCATACTTACTAAGGCAAATAAATATGGCTGTTTACAAAAATAACAGAAGATGACCAAAAAATAAAGATGGCGTAGTGTTCATTGGAGGTATCGATTTGCTTGGTCTTGCTCACTCGTTGTTAGCACCCATCCCTTCACCCATTTGATACAGTCCGCTACATATTTGTTTGTTTTGTTTGTTGTTGTAAATATATTTGTTTTTTAAATGTATTTGTTACATATTCATTGTATCTGCTGTGACCACTTTCTAAGTGCTCATTGTTAAGTCATTATATAATTATAAGCGAAAACCTTTAATTGGTTGATGTTTTTAATTTGTTGTTAAGCTGTTGGTTTTCCACGAATAAATAAATAAATAAATTACTGCGTTTCGATTTCAAAAGGGCGCTGCTGGAATGACTGACCCATGAGACATGTCAACTTATGTCTCAGGGTGACTGGTGCACTAACCTGCCCCTCAAATCTTTGCGATTTAAAGTCAAAGTCATACAGTCACTCATTCCATAGGTAAAATTTTTACACTTGAAAACTTGAAAACGTCAATTTTTAACCTACTGCTTTTTCACTACGCTGACCTCCCTGAGAAGAACGAGCAAGAAACTCTAGCAATTGCTCTTTTCAAATAATCTTAAATGCTATGGAATAAAATAAAATACACTTTGAATCATAATTGTCTGGAATCTAGACTCTTGTTGTCTTTCCACACTTCTTTACCTAAAGCTCTGAGTCGCACTGCAACAGTTTATTGTTTAGTTGATTATGAACAAGTGTCGCTCACCATCAGGCGCACGACTTGTTCGCCCCGTCACTTAGTATTATTTAAAAAATGTAAATGTGTAGTAAATTGAAAATATATACATTACCGTTATAAATTTTGCATAATTCAAATGACAATCAAGAGTGGAAAGATATTAACACATTAAATTGATTTGCAAGTTTAATACGGTATTGAGAGAAATCGTCCTCATTGGGAATTACACGCTACTTGAAATGCAGTACAAAACAAATATGGATACCATACATACATGTCACCTACAACGTTAATTATCGTAACCTTTATTATGACAAAAATGAATTATATACATCACAACACAGAACATAAAATTAGTGTGTAAATTTTTGTCTGTTAATATTGTACGTCCATCGTGATCGTGAAACAGAGGACTATGAATAAACACAAAAATCAGATAAATTATATGGTTATTATGCACTACCCTGTATAGAATTCGTTTAACTAAGGTAAACGATTCTTTTGTGGAGAATTGTACTCGTTTTTACAACAAGATTCCAGAACATTTATATTAAAATTATCATTTCCTAAGTTTAAAACATAGATACATGAAAAGTATTCATACGAAAAGTCATATTACAAAATTGAAGCGTAGTCCTATATGACTTTTCAGTTAGAATGTTAGATGTATAGAAAGACAACAGAGCCTAGATTCTATACAAATTTGATTCGAAGCATTTAAGCTTAGGTATTTGAAAAGAGCAATCCCTGTTAGAGTTTGCTCATTCTTCTCAGGCAAGTAAATTTATTTAAATGATTCTTGATTTTGAGAAACAACCGTTAAATTGAAAAATATGAAGATAAGAATGCACTTTTAGAAATTGCTGTAGCCCATCATCATCATCAACCCATTTATATGTCCCCCCGCTGGGCACGGGGTTCCTCTCAAGCGAAGGTTACGGCCATAGGTCGCCACGTTGGCTCAATGCGGTTTTGGGGGTCTTCACACGTTCTCTGAGTGTTGTGAACCTTTTTCGACGTGCAACTTTTATCACGAAGTTTTCCTTCACCAAAAAGATTCGTAAAACTCAGAGGTGCGATTCTGGATTCGAATCCACGGCCCCTGCTTAAGAGGTGGTAAATCAGACCCCTATTCCACCATATGTGTGCGCGTACTACATTTGTTTGGCAAGACAGCTCACTAATATTTATTCATCAATAAAAACTACAAACCGGGATTGAGTTTTAGAAGGGCTTCCATTCCGAGCACCATGGATCCCAAGCTTTGCATCAGCAAAGTAAAATATGGATATGATTTCGCCTCAATGGTCTTGCATAAAGATAAACGGACAAAGTTCACTCTGCTTGGTTCCACTTTCACATTGAATTGATTCTGGGCTTTATCCAGAATAGTCTGGGGTTCTGCTATTTCTACTGTGTAGATATATATGTTTATATCAGGGTATCTGAAAATGAGAAATATTTTTTTATAATAAAGTAACTAAAGCACTTGTATTATATAAATTGGAAACAACAACGGTACCACAAACCCCCATATCCCAAGACAATAGAGAAAAGTTTATTTGTTCATTTTCCTGGCCTGGAATCGAACCTGGGACCTGACGAGGTGGCGACACCGTGAAAACCGGTGAGTGGTTTCTACCACTGAGGCCGTCGTATCGAAATCATTGTTTGGGAATTTGTTTTTTAATTTATTTAAATTATTTTCTTGTGTTATATACATACTTAGGTAGTTCAGAGATGTAGAGACGATGAATGACGAAGACGATGTAATAGATTCATAAGTCAAGTGTGAGCGGACAAGCTGTTGAGTTCTGAAGGCAACAAAATGTAATATGACCAAACTGAGGATCTCGTAAAGAAAGGTCAGTTCTAAGGTGACCCTAACAATGAGTGTGTATGATATGGATTGATGCATGTTGATGATGTGAATGATATGTGATTGTAGCAAGAGGCAGGCTCTTTCTGCCTACCCCAATGAGAAAAGAGGGTGAAGTGTGTTTATTTATAAATGTTATGCACATATTTTAAACTTAAAAATTTACCTTAATTATCATTGACCTATTAACAAATTTGTTTGTAGGTCAATATTAATTATCAATAATTTAGTATTGTCCAACCTATTAAGTATAATGACTTGGATGGGCTAGACTACCTTACCAATAACTTTAAGCACAATTCAAATTCATTGTCAGCCAATGTATGTACACACGCCAGGTCATCAAGCTACACGTTGACTTATATTGTTCTGTTGCACTGGAGGCGATTTTCGAACAAAAATGTGTAGTCTGATGTGCCGTTGTCCGTACAATGACAACCTCAGGTCAACAGTTAGCATTATGAGCTATTTTGTGTGGGGCTATTTAAGAACAGTTTAATTTATTTTTCATTTTTTCATTTATTTAAACTTTATTGCGAACAAAATAGTACAAATGGCGGACTTATTAAACTGTGAATGACATAAAGTGGACCACATGTCTAGAGTAGTGTGGCCTTAATTAAAAAAACTATCTTACCTGACCAAGAGAGCTTTTATCGCAACCCACAAAACTCGTTCCCCTCCCCCGCCCGCATTGCAATATGGATGAAAAAATGCCACATTGGCTCCATCCGTTTTCCTCCGTTGCAGCTTGCGCTCATATATCCGCATGTACCATGACGCAAAGATGAACGCAAATGGAACTACTATAAAGGCCGTCAATAGGATAAATATGACCAGAATGAGGGGTATTACTATAAGAAGCCTGAAAAACAAATTCATTGTTATACTGTAGTTTGATACAAATATTTATTTATCCTCCTAAGACCCCATGTAATCAAAATGTACATAATATGTTCAGTTCAACATTATTCCAAAGACCTCATAGACGTTCAGTGTATGTACACTACAATAAAAACGTTGCATTCAAATTTACCATTATACATGACCGTAAAGTATCTAAAAAATAAGTCGTTCATACAAATCCATATGCTAGAATTGTGCCTGATCATTACATGTGCCCCTTTTTTACAAAACAATAATGAAATAAAGTACATTACAATGATTTCATATTATACAGGGTACGCATTTTCGAATTTTTTTTTTAGATAAAACATACCTAACAAAAAATATGTACACTTACTTTATTACAAGTTTACATAAATACATAATGTACGTATTAGAGACCAAAAACGATCTGGCAACGTTCAGTTGAGCATCTTACTTGAACTTGTACTAAAAGCAGTGAAAGAAAGCTAATTATCCCGTCACACTATTCCTACTGAATAAAAAACAGGTGAACTATCAATGCAAGCAGTTCATAGTTCACTACTGAACTAAAAAGACTGAGCACGACAAAGTAATTCAACTTGCCCAGTGCTGGGAACATATACATAATAGTTCACAGTTCATGAACTATACAAGCCTAATCATCATCATTAACCCATTTACACATTCCACTCGGCTCGGTTCTCCCCTCAGGTTAGTATTTAGGCCATAGTCCACCAATATGGCCCAATGCCAGTAGGAAAATTCTGCTGTCCGCTAACTAAAATGTGACTGAGTGTGAAAATATTTTTTTGAGATAATAATAATAATAATAATACTTTTTATTTCTCCACAAAATACAACAACAAATAAGAAGTACATAATCAATCTTAGTAATTTTAGAACAGTATTTTGTAGGAGCTGGTGCTTGCTATAGGCTTAACACCTGTGCTACAAGTCACCAGGCCCCAACCCTTGCAAATGAAACATATGTTACTAAGTATACATATACCAACCACAAATTATATGTATGAGAGAAAAAATAAATAAATAAATAAGTTACGGTAGCAGCAAAACCTTCGAGATAATTCTTTTATGTGCACGCGCTGTGTGTGTGTTTTTGGTTGTGTGTAATTTGGAATACCTGTGTGTGTGTGTGTATTTGTGTGCGCGCGAGTGTGTTTGGGTGTGTGTGATTTGGATACATGTGTGCGTGTGTGTGCATGTAAGTGTGTGTACCAGTAACGGAACATTAAGTTTGATTCAGACTATTGGATGAAGCAACTTTTCCGTATCATCATAATTTAATTTTTGCAACCAGTTTGCCAACCTCTTCTTACATTCGAAATTATTCAACCCAAAAATGTGAAGCTCTCGATGGAGTTTATTGTAAAGAAAATATCCAAGGAAACAGAAAAATCTGTGGCTAAAGGCAGTCCTCAGTCGGTCACAAGAGGCCACTATGCAATTTCGCCTATCAGAGCCACTGTCATAAGGTGTAAGGGTGTGTTGTCTCAACACCGTCCAGAGGATAAAAAGTTGCCTAACAGTAAGAACTTAGGTACTTACTTAGGAACTTAGAGATATCACAAAAAACCATAACCCAGTTTTAGAACATTGAAATTATTTAATGATATTTCGGCTATGCATTGTTAACATAAGTTCTCACAAGTCGAACACGTTAACTAATTATAAAAGAGAATGTTGTGCACTATTTTTTGCTATTTAAAACGGATATTTGACCATTTGTCACTTAGCCACATTTTAGTTAATGGACGGCAGATTTCACAAGTTTTCCGAGGGTTGTGAACCTTCTTCATTGTGCAGGTTTCATGGATGGTTTCCTTCATCGAAAAGTGATAATAAATTTCAAATTAAATTTTGCACATAAATTCCGAAACACTCAGAGGCCCAGATTTGAACCCACAACGTCTGCTTGAGAGGTGGTAGGCCAAACCATTTGCCTACCACGGGCATGCTTAATACTTGCATATATTTAGTACATTTTGATGTACATTGGACATTCAGCACATCTCCTAATGTAGTTTGCTGGGCCTTAGGAGGTTGATTATTTGGGAGTTACGTTGATGCAGTTTTGCTTAGTTTGAGACATTTTCAATAATGTTTTCGAACATTCAATATCATAATAATAACGCACACACTCAACATGTTTTAAAACGTTTAATATGCATACATACAGAATTTGTATCAGCGTTGTACAGAGATAATATGCTAGTGATCTTAACACAAGCTGAATAAACAACAACTATTTGTCGAGTGTGGTGTATAGTTACAATTTCACAGAATGTTTTAGACAGCATAAACTGTACTCACGTGAAACATATCCAAAACATTGTGAAAATAGCAAAAATTTCACATTTACGGCAATTCTTACTTCTATGAGCTTGGCTGAAACACGTGATACCGCTATATTAATTATAATATTTTAATTGACATTGTATATAATAACTTCAATTTTTCATTATTATTTATTACTCCCATTTAACCTTAAAAGTAAACAATACGTTCGATGTCATAAGGCTACGTTCCGATTTCTTCTTCAAGTGTCAAAGCAAAAATTGTCAAACACATACGAAGTGAAAACATAAATAGAATTCATATCTCTAAATAATATATTATGATTGATATAATACGCGAGTATGATCTAGAATTTGGTACGGGTTCGGTATATGAACTGAATATACAATAAGTTACAATTTTTCTTAAGTAACTTCACTTTAATTAGCTACGTGATGTAGCGCGAAAATTGACTGACTTCCACTATGACTTCAATTCTATAAGTTACGATGTGTATATGTTGTTAGTGTATTTTGTCCATCCTCTAATGTTGTTAGGTACTTTTTTTACTTTTTGCCATTCAGACAATAATGCATTATCACGAATGCTGCAAGAATGTTATATAAAAGTTGCGATTAAATTTCATCACCATCACCATCAAAGCCATGAATAAATTATCAATCGTAGTTTTTTTATTGATGTGGAATTTGCATAATGTGATAGTGTTATGCAAATTCCACATCAGTTAATTTAAGTGCCTGCAAATGTACTTGAATATAACTAATCGATCTTATTTCCTATAATATACAACACTGTATGTATGAATATAGAATAGAATAGAATAGAATAGACATTTATTGCGACGCCACAACACATGATACAAAAAAAAATGAATTATAACATAGTACGATGAACATTAAAATTAAAAATAATAACAGTAATAATAATTAATAAACAAAATAGACATACGTAAAACAAACAAATGAAAAAAGAAAACATTAAAATTATCAAAACAAACAAAAAAGGAAAAAAAGAAAAAAAAACAAAAGCAAAATAACAACAAATTGTTCAGTCATTTGTGCAGTCGTGGCGTACGCAAAAGGACTACATTCAGCTTTTACCACAGCCAGAATTGACTGTGGAGCTGGTTTTCAATGAGCCCTGAATATAAATACTTTATTGTATGTACGACAAAACAATTTCAAATGTTAATGTAAAAACGAGCTTATTCCATAAAGGTATTTCTTCCAAGTACCCTAAACACTCATTTTAATCACGTTGAGCCTGTTTTGCACCATTAAAAAAAATGATTTGCAGTAAACTTTCGTTAAGACGTAAATTATATGGTCACAGAAACGAATTAATAAGTTTAACTTACAAGACACTGGTGTACTATGGTAGAATTGGTAACATGCTATAGGACCTTCATATAAAGACTAACGTTAACTTCAGCTACTTTAATGTGTAAACATTGTAAATTATTGCCGTAACCGCGATATATTCTACAATAAACTTCTCTAATCAAGAAATCCGTTATTAAACAAGAAGAAAGGTGACGAATAGTAAAGAAAGAAACAGTCTATTAATTATTTGTTTTTTCTTACTTTTTACAAAATCACAATTTTTGCTGTTGTTACAGTTGTCATCATGAAACAAATATATCGATGTCATATCTATGTAATTAAAAAAAAATTATTTCGTTAATTTCTTTCTGTTCCATCGATTTTGGGACGACGCGACGCGACATAGTAATAACCTGGTGAAGGTTATTACTATGACCTTAAACCGTTCGATGTTTCTTACGTCAAACATATGAATAAATTTAGTGATTCCGAGATACTGTAATACGACGGACAGACTAATTAAAAAGTCAATTGAGAAACTGATCTAAAACTAGCTTTAAATATAATGTATTAAATTGAAGCGCCGCAAACAAAGCTTTCATGGCATACACACAAATTGCATAATGGTGCGAAAGGAATAAAATAAAATTGAAATTTCATGCATACAATTCAATTTTGCAGATTTTGAAGAAACCAAAATTTTGGAATTCTATCAGTGATCTAAAATAATTGAGAGCCAAGGTCACTACATTAAATCTATGGTAAATTTAGCCCAAAATCTAAAAATTGAAGCTATTCAATTTTTAAATGTTGCGCCGGCAAAGGCACAGTACTTTAAATAAGAAAAAGAAAGACAGAAAGACTGCTGCACCTCGGAAGGAAAACGACATGCCGCCGAGTAACAACGCAGCGCAGTCAGTTATGCATCGAGGTGACGCTTGCTCTTTCGTACTTATGTCAACATTGTCGCGACAGTTGACTTGTGAGATAACCCCTTAAACTATTTTTGCATCCATTAAGGTTAACCTTTAAATTGCCCTTACACTGCCTGCAAGGCAGTCCGCCGCGCAGACAGGAGACTGCTCACACACTATCCTGCGTATGGCCCACGTATAGAATCTTGCAGGACGCATTGCAGGGTGGCCTGCACGCTGCGACTACACTCATAATCCCGCATTACGTGGCGGACGAGTAGACGGACTGCAATGCAGGGCAATGAATGCAATGCCCCCTTATAGGTCAAGCTGCCAACTGCTATTTTTTTAATTTTGTTTGTAAACATAACAGGTGTGCAGTGCCAAAAACATGCTTGGCATAAAGCGAGTTTTAGGGTGGTATTCCAGAACTCTACTCAATGCTCAAGTCAAAATCTGAGTATGATTTCAAGCACTGGAAATACGACCCTAATGGCAAGGACTTGAGTATGATTTCTAGCGCTTTGAATCATACTCAAGTCCTGACTTGAGCATTGAGTAGAGTTCTGGAACACGACTCTAAGGGTCGTATTCTAGAACTCTACTCAATGCTCAAGTCAGGATTTGAGCAGACTTGAGTATGATTTCAAGCACTGAAAATACGACCCTAATGGCAAGGACTTGAGTATGATTTCTAGTGCTTTGAATCATACTCAAGTCCTGATTTGTATTCAGTGTGCCTTTAATTTAATTGATTTCTGTGGTCGACATTTTGAATGCATCCAATCAAATTTGTCTATGAACTGTGTTTGGTTGTGGTATGTATAGGTTGTAGCCTTTGCGGATGGAAAAAAAAGGAAGATCGCAGTCTAATTTAATCTATGGACGCTATCCGTTGATAGTGTTGGCAATTTACGAGGTATTCCCTACATTGTGGGGAATTTCAATTCGATTGGGTATTTCGTGGGGATTGGCGCTATGTGTGAAAAATTGTACACATAACATTTTACCATTTTATTAAAATATCGATTGCTGATACATCGCTATTTTGATGATAACTGATAAAAACACTATTTAGGAAATGAAACTATTTTTCCGGATTTAAATCGTGTATATTCTCGGTTTGTTTGAAAAAACAAATATACGCGATTTAAATCCGGAAAAATAGTTTCATTTCCTATATTTTTATTAACATTTTGGTATTCTCGAAGGGTTTAGTTGAAAGTATCGTGAGATAGCCTCAAAATATTTATAGAACAGTTAGATTTCATCTTTATTATTACGATCATTGAGAAATTACATGCTCTTATATGCCCTTTATCAATATATCAGCACTTTAGTATCAGTCATCATTAATGATACTTTTTATACTTTTGATCATTGCATTTTAACTCTATTTTAAATTTGTTTTAGAGTCACCTGGAGGCTCAAACTTAAGAGTAACAAGGCAAAGTCTGTTCGATAAAATGCAACGGCAGAATTTACCAACGTTTGAAGAAAAAAGTAAATATTTATCAACAGCCCTTTTACCGCCTAATATTTATTCCGAAGTTACTATTTTAATTTTACTTGTAATTGTAATTGTTTGTAAAATAAAGAAATTGTTTTCTTTTATTTGTTAACTACCACAAACCACTTGTTTTATTTTTAAAATATGATAAAAGTTCCCATACTATAATAAAAGTCACATAAATAGTTTTTACTGTTACTGAAATGAGACAAACCTTATTAATATAAGGTTTAATTAATAAACAAAATATACATTGCAGATGTACGAAATAATAGAAATGAGATAAAATGTTTTTTTTTTTACATTTTGAGTTTCCTAATTGTTCGGTACATTTTTAAGCTGTGGATTTATAGCCATAATAATATTATGAAATTAATATTGAGAAAATAAATATTACTAGACGTGGGAATTAGTGGGGAGTATAAACTTCGCTCTCCCTATATTTGGTGATTTTAACTTTGATTTTTGGGGATGTTGAATAATGAGAATTGGCAAATGGCATGAACATTTGTCACTGTCAAGTCGATTCACAGTTTTTGGTTTTGGCGAAAACTCACAGGACATTGGCGAAACCGCCATTTTTTGTATAATTTTTATAATAATACTAAACTAGTGTACATAGTTATTTTTACTTGACATTGGCAAAATCATTGATTATTTCGATGGGGCCCATAACATTTAAAAGAAGAAGAATAAGTGTTCGTTTTGTGCATTGTTAGTTATTTGCTTATGATTAATGATTAGATTCTCTTTTTGTTGACTTGTTTTGTTTCTAGTTATTTTCAGTCGTTGTTGGGTCGACTTCCATTGTCTGTATATTGTCTGTTGTTGTCTGTATATGTTTGTAGTATATATTCTCTGTGTCAACATTGTGGTTACAAAACATCTACTAAAATTGTCGTTGTGTCAGCTGCTTGCCTCGTGGTTTTATTTAATTCTAGATATTTGTCCAACACCTCAAACCTTAATGGTCGCTATGGATGTTAAAGTGAAGTCATCAACGCGCTGTAATGTAGTTTGCATTTTGCAATCTGCACTACAGCGCGTTACGGTATCCATTCTAAATGCTTAAATGACGTCGGTAAAATAAGCTCCAAACTCCAAAAGTCCCTTAAGTTATATTTTATTTTTATTCAATTGATACAATATGTATGTATGCAGTTTCGTTTTCACCAAAAAAACGGAGTTCGCCTATATACTTTATAAATATATTTGTGGTTTTTAATTATTACAGGGTACACAAGTAAGCCTAATGTAAACAATGTACTTAATTATATATAAATGTAAATATAAAATTTTCTTTGGCTTTGTCAAATTAAAACATGGTAAGGTGGTAATCAGTGAAGTGCCTGAAGTTAGAAACCCTACTGCTCATATGTCTATACATGAAGCATTTTCGAAAACAAAAAATATTCAACAGACATATTTATCTTTATGAACATAAGAAGCAAATAGAAGGAATTTCTAATATGGTAATAGTTAAATTCTTCTTATCAGTAAAATCAGCAGAACAAAAAAATAACCTATTAATGGAAAAAACAGTGAAGTATTGACTTACATGAGCAAAAAGAACAATCTTTGAATACAGTAAAAGTTAACCTTAAGACAAAAATCAACAGATACAAACATTATCATAGACATGTAAAACCATGTTTTAGCTATTTGAATGTCTTGGTAAAAGTTTTTTTAACCCTTAACCAGGCCCAAGAGAACTACACAACTTACATAACTTTCAACTATTGATTCTATATACTATTATAATTGTTATGGCATACGAACAAAGAAAATTGGAAAATGACTTGGAAAATTAAAGGAAAAACACGTGGGACAACATATTCCCATTGCCTGGAAAGAAATTAAAAAAACTAAGTGCGACTACTTAATATTTGAACATAATTTTCTTGGATTTTTTTCTTGTTAGGTTAATAATTGACTCAAAATGCAGGGGGTACTTCGCTGAGATAGGGCGGGGTATTATAAATATATCATGTACTGTAATGAAAGTGGTTTTATTTTGAGGACTATTTTACTTTCAAATATATAAAAAAAGTAATGAAAGTGTTTTTGGTAAACATTCATCGATCAACATTGTTGTTCCGAGGTTTAGTGAAAATGTATCATGCAGGGGTACACACAAAGGGTCACCTTACATATTTGGCACATGTACTTCGAACGGGTATCCTTCTGTCTCGTACTACAGAATCTGCACCTCTTTCTAGTGGTCATGGGTTCCAAGTAATGCTGCCCTTTGTAACCCAGTCTTAATTCATCTGGGACGCCAAACACTCCTCCTTTTTTAATTTTCCAAATTATTGGGTTGTCTTTTTGAATATTTATGTACTCAGACTTTAATTTTCTGGCCAAACGCAAACGAAAATCTCGATGTATGTTTTTCCTTGTTTCATTTTCATGTTGATATATGATACGAGGGGTGATCCAAAAGTTATGATAATCAATAATAAACACAATGAATATAATAAAAAAATAAATTTATTTCTCAACATAGTCTCCTAGCAAGTCTATACATTTAGTCCATCTCTTTTCTAAACCTAAAATTCCCTTAGAAAAAAATCTTTATCTTGACTCTCAAAAAAGTCCTCAACCGCGGCCATCACGTCGCTATCATCGTCAAATTTCTTGCCTCGGAGGTGTTCCTCGAGTCGTGGAAAGAGATAGAAGTCACTGGGGGCTAGATCTGGTGAATAGGGGGGGTGTTCCACAAGTTCAAAGCCCGCTTCCTGAATGGCAGCCATGGCGATTGCAGCTTTGTGAACCGGTGCGTTGTCTTGATGGAACAGCACGCCAGCCCGCAGTTTGCCTCGCCCTTTCTCCTTAATAGCCTCCCGCAATCTTCTTATTTGTTCTGCATAGTAGGAGCCTGTAATAGTGGCCCCCTTTTCCAAGTAGCCCACCTTGATTATTCCTTCAGCGTCCCAAAAAACAGACGCCATAACCTTCCCTGCTGAGCTTGACACTTTGAATTTCTTCGGCGTCGGTTCATCGGATCGTTTCCATGTCATCGATTGTTGTTTTGTTTCAGGATCAAAATGGTGGATCCAGGTCTCGTCCATGGTCACAAAACGTGACAAAAAATTATCCGTGTCTGCCTGGAACTTTTCGAGATTTGCTCTTGACATGTCGACTCGTTTCTTCTTTTGCTCGTCGTTTAACATTTTCGGTACCCAACGCGCGGTGACCTTTCTCATATGCAATTCGTTCGCAAGGATTCTTTGAATGCTGCCATATGAGATCCCTGTGACCTCAGCAACATGCCTGATAGTCACTCATCGATCTTCCAATACAACTTCTTCAACTTTTTTCACATTTTCTGCAATGGGCGTCCTTCGCGGTGTTCGTCTTTCGTCGATGTTCTTCCCAGATTAAACTCCTTAGCCCAGCGTGCAACTGTGGAATATGGAGGAGAAGAGTCCCCTAATGTTTCCACCAAGTCGCTGTGTATGTCTCTGGTACACATTTTTTTCAAGCAGAGGTATTTAATGACAGCTCTGATTTCGTGTTTTTCCATTTTGATGTTCACTCCTTGACAGTTCGTTTTCAAATGAATGTAGCTCCCGGGAATCGTGGCCTATTTATATGATTTTTTTTTCCTGAACTAGTGGGTAACTGAGCAAGTGACTGATATTTTTTTTGTATTTTTGTGTGCACTAGAAATAACTGATTAATCATTACTTTTGGATCACCCCTCGTATAAGCATTTATTACAGCACACTCAAATAAAAACCAAAACAATCTTGGCCATGTTTTTTTGGATCTGCGTCCAATGGAGTATGAGCTACTGTAATGATCAAAATGATCAACTCCACCCATGTTTCGGGTGTAATCAGCAATAGCAGATGGGCAATACATTTTCTTCTTTTCGCCATTCTTTTGTCTTCTTTCTATTAGTTCTATTTTTCTAGGGTTTACGGCTGTTATAAGGACGGTCACGTCTTTAGTATCTTTCCACTTAACTACCCCAACAGGGTGACAGTATCTGTATGTGAATTCTGGTTGTAGTTGCTCTTTCTTACTTTCTTTTTTGACAAAATCTTCAGGAAGTCCTTTTCGTGATAGTCTAACAGTACCAATAGCAAATATTCCTTTGTAATATAAGTATTCCAAAAGAGCGACAGAGGAAAAAAAATTGTCAAAGACTATCAATGTGTCCTTTGGTACGTTAACACACAGATTTTTCACCACTCTGTAACCCAGTCCTTCACTGTCGGCATTTTTATCTTTACCTGTATAGATGTCACATTGGTAAAGGTATCCTGTTTTCGCATCACATCTACACCACGCCTTGTACCCTCGTTTAATCGGTTTACACGGCATATAAGGTACAGTCGCTAAATTTCGTCCCCTTTTTGTAAAAAAACGTGGAAAAATAAATTATTACAAGTAGAATAATAAATGAAACGTCTAATATTCGGCAAAATATATGTTTATTATTAAAAATATTCAAAATCACGTTAACTTCGTTACAAACTCTGCTAAGATAATATTAACAAAAAAGTACAAATTCTAAAAAAAAATGTAAGGCACCTAATTCCGTCCCGGGGACGATATTGAGATCACAATAACTACAACTTACAATAATCAGTCCGTGAACTTAAATTGTATTAATAATAATTACTATAAAAAATATTTAGGAATAATTAATTAATTAAGCTTATTTTCTAATTAGGCTTTGATGAATCATTGGTATGGTTAAATAGTTTTAATTCTCCAGACAAGTTGTACAAATAAATTTAGGTCCGGGATTCTCAACGCAATCCTCATGCATCCATTGGAAACATTTGATGCATCTTATCCATTTCTCTCCCTTTTTGTCCTGAGAAAAGGTTTTAAGACAAACTGGGCATTCAGCGTCATCATTGTCGCTATCTTCTTCGTCAGTAGAGACCAAAACTGGTTCATCTTCAGACGTGTCCTCGTCAGAAGACTGTTTCTTTTGTCGCTTGTTGGTTTTATATTTGTCCCTTCCTTGTATTTTAGTTTTTCTTACAATCCTCTTTTTTTTCCTGCCAGTCTTTCATCCTTCTCCTTCCGCTTCTTTTCTGCATCCATTATTTCTTGTTTATGTGGAGAAGCCGTGACTATCATAGCTTGGCCACGTCTAGTTGAGGTTGAGGGTAGTTCGATAGTTGGAATAGGCTGCACATCAGCTAGAACAATAAATGGGAATGAAGAGTTACCTGATAGTGGTAATGGAGTCGGTGTTATTGGTCTTGACCTTGTGGAAGTTGAAGGTAGTGAGATGTCATTTGCCAAAGGTGTTGTGTTGTCATTTGCCAAAGGTGTTGTGTTGTTTGCACCTGATGAAGATGGAGCATGTGGTGAGTCGACGAAAATGTTTTCATTAATTGGAAATATTCCTGTTTTTCGAAATCCATTTACTGCTGTATCGATTTTACAAGCTTTAGCATAAGCTTTTCCAAATATTTCTCCAATTTGGTAGTGAGTAACAACCCGCCCTGGATGATTGGTCAACCAGTTTTCAATCTCTTGGGCGTAGTATGTTTTTAGAGGAAACATAAATGAGACATCTAAAGGCTGCATACGATCAGTTGAATGCGGTGGGAGGCAGATTATAATTATACCATTGTCACGTGCAATGTCGATTACATCTAAATTTCTAGTATGACTGTAATGTCCATCTAATATGAGCAAGACAGGGTCTTTTTTAGATGGTTTCACTATGGACATGAAATGTATCAGCCATTTTGTGAACAGCTCAGGCTGTATCCAACCGGATGGATGGCATCCACCAATGGTGACTGGGGGTGCTCCATCTAGTAGTTCAGCTTTCATGTTTTTTCTTGGAAACACCATTAGCGGAGGAATGAACTGACCAGAAGCTGACATACAAGTTACAATAGTTACTAATGCTCCCCTTTCAGCAGATGACAACTTGTGAACTTCTCTTTTGCCTTTCATAGTCAGGATTTTTCTAACTTTATGCTGTACAGTGGTTATTCCTGTTTCGTCCACATTAAATATTTTATTGGGGTTGAAGTTAATCTTCTGCAGTTCAGGCTTCAATAATTCAAAAAAAGTCTTAACGTTTTCTGCAGTAAAACCTTGTACACGAGCTTTTGATAAAGACTCTGGCTTACGGAAAGACAATGCAGGATGACGAGCCATAAATAACTTCATCCATTTTTTTCCCGCTTTCTTCTTGGGCAGTGAAAATGGATGTGGAATATTATTCCTGAGAACCAGTTGGAAAGCCATTCGTTTTAAATCAGCAGCAGTGACGCCATAGTAATTCTTATCCATTTGCATGCAATAGTTTGCCAGCTCCTCTTCTAATTCAACCGGCAAAACTGGTTTTCTTCCCATTTTCGAATAAACTACATCCTCTACAGACTTTTCTGAATTTTTCACATAATCTTTCAAAGTAGCTCTTGGGACATTAAATAACTGTACTGCCTTTTTATAACCCATTTCTTTCGTTCTTACCGCTTCTACAGCTCTTTTCATTGCTTCAGGATCCCACAGCTTTCTCTTTGGCATCTGTAGAATAAAAAACTAAATATAGAAAAAAATTAAAGAAAATAAACTTAAAAGTTAAGTGAGGGTACCTAAATACCGTCCCGGGGACGAAATTAGGTCTACGTTGGGGGACCTTATTAGGAATTTGCTATTGTAACAAAAAACATCCATTCAACAAAACAATGTCATAACCTCAAATTTTTTTTTATCTTCGAATCATACGTAAATACAATTCATTTTGACGAAAAAATAGTTTCAAAAAGCCAAGCATATCAATAAATCATTTCACATAATATTTCAAATAAAAACTCACCTTGAACGTTTTTTTTTTTCAATTATAGATATCTTGCTGTAGGAGCGACGTCTTACCTTCAAATTTTTAAAATGGCTGACTGAGGTAACTGGCTTTAGATCCCATATATCAAAAGTAGATGGCGCTAGTAGGAAAAAAAAGTACGGCAGGGGACGAAATTAGGTTCGGGGACGAAATTTAGCGACTGTACCCTACTGTTTTTTGGAATCACGACCTTTAAACTTTATCATGCTTTCATCGATTGATTGTGACTGAGAATTGGTAGCGTTTTCTTGAAAGGTTTTATTTAAAATGTTCAATATTGGCCTTATTTTTTGTAGTTTATCATGATCTTTATGATTTTGTGGTAAATGAGTAGTAATATCGCAAACGTGTATATTCTCTAATATTTTTTTAAATCTTTTACAAGGCATTGTTCCAGATATTTCCTGATTATTGTAAAATGGGTCTGAATTCCAGTATAATTCGATATCTGATTGTGGGGTAATTCCCATAAGAAGTGATTCTTATGGGAATTACCTAGCCTTTACAGCCAAGAATGCCTTAATTTCATTACTGTCTACATCCTTCCAAAACTAGCTGCCTTTTATGCTCGCATACTTGTTGGTGTTTTCGACAATGAGCTGAAATAATTCATCAGGGAACATATCCATAAAATGGTCAAATGGGGTACCTCTGTTGTCGTGTTTTGTAGTAGGTTGTAACTGTCTACTAAAATCACGATCTTCAAAGTAACCTACTTTTGTACTCCACCTTCTTTGCTTCGCCTGTAATTCAGCATAAGTTGGCTCAAGTAGCACACAAAGTTGATCATCGTCGGGAGCTAAGGAAATGGCCATCTCTTCTTGTTCAATTATAACCTCAGGAGTTTGATCACAATCTCCCAGACTCTGAGACACACTTTCTCTGTTGGTATGTGGAAACTTAGATTTCGGCAGATCTTGAGATGAAGTTGTCGCGGTGTTATACGGAAATGTATATTCTGGTGAAGCATCGGGTGAAATCGTCCTGGCACCAGGTAGCGTAGGTGAAAGCTGGGAAGGACCAAAAACAGCATTGTCCAGATGTGCCGGTGTCTGCAAAAACTGGGATGTGCTGGCCACAGGTTCTGGTGTG